TCCCGTGCCACATGGGACATCAGGAGCAGTCCCACTAACGTAGGATTGCCTCAGTGGGCCCACAGACCTGCTCTAACCACAGGGCCACCAGCTGAGCTGCGCCAACATCCACAATAGACGTGGGTTGCTTCCATCACTCACAGCAGGATGCTCCTCGGTAACCAAGGGTGACAGAATAACTTATTGCTCACAAGCAACCTGGCTAAGTACACCGTGATCCGGGCATACTTGATTCCTTAGCAGATGGAAGGCTTAAACCTCCCTGAGTTCTTCAAAGGAGGCTTTAAGCATAAGCAAATGACAGTACTTAGTGCTAAGAAAATGACAACAGGGATGTGAAATAAAAGTTAGAATGCTGCCGTGAAAAACCTAGAAAGATTCAAGCTACACACATCCCCTGCCTCCTTCCATTTCTGCAGGCTATGCTTCACACACAACAAGGACACGGCTTTTTTGGAGCCACCACTGCTACTCCTGTTGTGTGCTTCCCACTTTGCTACACGTTTCTGAGGCCTATTGACAGCAGGAAAGGCAAGTGCCTGCTGCACAGCTAACACAGGGCTTGAGGAGTCTCTGCAGTTCACTGACAGAACAGCTGATTTCACACGGCATCTTTAAAGCCAGATATCAAGCAAAACGATATGGCAGGGAAGGAGAGCCTGAGCTATTCTTCTGGTGGATGGCATGATACAGGTCTCAGATAAGCAAAGACGACATTCTCTAGGAGGTAACTGCCCGACTTGCAGCCTCCCATGAGGGTTCATTACGCACTATCTGGTGACTGCTATGCCCTAACGATCACAACTGACCCCTGACAGCCTCAGAGATGATCCATCATTGGTAGCAGAAGCAGAACAAGAGGTGAAGCATCAGCAGTGAAACAAAGGCAGAGCTTCTTTGGATGCAAAACAGTGCATTTGTTCTACAGACAAAATTTTTAAGCTTTTTTTCTTTTTTTTTTTTTAAATCAGCCAGGAGGAACCTAATGCTCGAGTAGGAAACACACTGATGCTTTTTGGTCTGCTCTAGAATTTCCTTATCAGTAGTGTAAGATTCGTGGAACGCAGCACCCTGAAGTGGCACATGCTGCCAACACACACGCAGTTTTCGAGCGCAGTGCGTGTCACTGCAGCTTCCCCTCCTGCCTTTGATGCTTCTCTCACTGACTGCTGCTCTCATCACTCCTCCTCAGTTAATCAAGCTCCAACTCATCACTGCTTCTCCTGCTTACAGCCTGCAGCTTTAACCCAGTTCATGATATAGAATCTGCTTTCCCAACTCTGGATTTTTACAGCGCAGTTTAATTATGCTGCATTCATTCCCAGTGTGCCTTACAGAATCTCATCTTCACACTTGTCCAACTGTCTCCAGGAAGGAGGGGGCACTAGCAGCAGAAGAGGCCCATCTGCAGGCTCCAAGGAGCATGGAACAGAAGGAAAATCTTCCACAGGACTCACATGAAGCGCTACAACAGTAAATTCTGCAGTGTGGCTTGATGACTGCTTCTCACCTGCCATACCCACTACTTGGCTTGTAGTTGAACCAAAAACGGAATGCTCAAGGTAAAAGAAAACAATGTGTAACTCAGCAGACTGAAAGAATATGTTTGTATGAAGGCAATGGAAAAATCAAGCCTCTTTGAGTCTGTGAGGTTACTGCTGTTCCCCTGAAGCACAGAACTTGCTAACCTCTTTTCACATGCACAGCAGCAGCTTGCTAAACACCACAGGTCCAACAAATCATCAAAACCCCACAGCATTTATTCACCTTCCTGAAGGGTGGTATTCACTGAGAAGAACAGTCTTGAGAACACTACCCTTGGCTCCAGCTTTGGCCAAAAGCCACCATCAGAAGGAGCCGTGTTGTCAGGCAGGAGTCATTCCCTGCTATGCTGGATGAGAAATCCACAGTGGCAGAGCAAGATCCCAACTCCCAGAAGGAAAAGGCTGCAAAGCCTGGGCCTGCAGCATCTGAGGGAGCTTAGAACAGATGGGGGCTGAAAACCAGACCGGCACCAACAGCATTCACTTGGCAAGGCCGCAGTGGGCCAGACAGGCAGCTCCCCATTCCCTGATCACAGAATGGCCTGGGTTGGAAGGGACCTCAAGGATCACGAATCTCCAACCCCCTGCCCAGCTCTCTCAGGCTGTCTTTGTAGCGGAGGTGCTGCAGCCCCCTGATCACTGCACCGTCTGTGCACACAGCTGCCATCTGCCAGCAGAGCACACCTGGCAACGCCGGGCCTTCCTTCAGATGGAAGCAGTGAAAAATAATATCGTCATTACTTAACATGACCCTGTGAGTGCCCGGAATGGAGCTGCAGACCTCTGGAGACAGACTGCAGGCTGGCTGAGCTCGAGCAGGGCTCTTAACACGCTTCTTCTTCCACTTATCGGGAGGAAAAATAAAGAAAGGATTGTGCAAATCACAGCCGCACACGGCCGGGCCGACACGGCGCTCCGTAAGGCGGAGATGCGGCCCGCCGCCCCAGGCCTGCGGGGAACGGCCGGCCCGAGTCGCCCTGAGCTCGGGGCTCCGTGCGGCCCTGCCCACAGCCCGTCCCGCACTCACCATGGCTGCGGGCCGTCCGTCCCACGGGGCGGCTCTGGGCTGGACGCCGCGCTCCGCTCACCTCATGGCCGCTCACCCCCCGTCCGCAGAGCAGCCGCCTCCCCCCAGGCCCCGAGGCCCACCCCCGGCCGCCGAGCACGGGGAGCCCCGGGGCGCTGGGAAGGGCCGCCGGATGGCAGACCGGCGCGGGCCGCTGGAGGAGCCGGGAGCGGCGCTGCTACGGGCGGAGCGGCCACAGCTCCTCCGGGCGCATCCTGCGGCTCTGCCCTCCCCGCCCCGCCCGCCGGAAGCGGCCGCCCGGCCCCACCGACCAATCGCAGCCGAGGCCGCGGGGCCCGGCGCGTGCGCACTCAGTTTCAGCACGCCTCTGTCCGCCATCTTGAAGGAGGGCGCGGTGTCTCGCAGGGCGGGGGGGAAGGTGCGCGCAAGGAGGTGCGCCTCGCCCCGCCCCTGCGCTGCTGCGCGTGCGCGCCCGGCTCTTCCCGCCCTGCAGGAAGCGGGAAGGGGAGGGGCGGGGCTGAGTTGGCCACGCCCCCTTCTGAGGGCTGGGCGTGCCGGCGAGCGGCGCGTGAACGGGGCGGGCGTTGCTTGGCAACGCGGTGGGGCAGGCGCGGCCTGGGCCTGGCTCTGAGCCCCGCTCTCCGCACGGTGACCCGGCTGGCCAGCCCGAGGCCTACCTTCGTTTCTTCCTACCGCATTTCTTATGGTTCCCAACGTCTCCTGTGGCATTTCCCGTTGCAAGAGATTGCTGAAACCAGCAGCTTAATAGGCTTTAGGGGACTGCGTACGGTATTGAACGTGCTTGCAGTTGCATTAGAGGATCAAACAAAACAGGAGAGGGAGAGAATTGAGCCGCCAGGCAGCGTAACTGACTGCAGGGATTGGCAAGGAGAGCAGTGCTGAGCAGCGCGTGCTTTTCCCACTGCCCATTTTCTTCCCCGTTCTGGCAGCACGCTGACCTGCACATCCTGCGCTTTCCGGTGCTGCATCCCCAGCTTTTGTAATCCCGTTTCCCTACACAGTCCGTGGGGCTGCAGCAGGTACAGGATTTGGGGCTGGCAGTCCGTCCTGAGCTCCACGGCCTTCGTCCCTGTTTTGGAAGCACCTCCCCAAGGCTGTGAGAGCATCTTCGTGCCCTGGCTGTGCTGGGATGGAGGATCCTATGCTGCATGGCTGGAGAAACCACTGCGGCCTCTGTGTGTCAATGTGGGGCTCCTTCTGTTTCTTAATCTCTTGCTAATGAGATTTTGCTGTCGTCTATCCAAGTTGGGAAAAGCCACAGAACATTCTTTGGTGAGGAAAAAAATAGAGAAAAAAACCCAATATCTACACTGGGAGGCCAAGGGGAAAGAATTAGTGAAAATTGTTCCTTGCTGCATGGTTTATCCCTTGGTTATCTTTGTTCTCGCTTCAGACCCAGCCAGGTATCTGTTTTCATCTCATTCTAATGCTTCTGCCACAAATTGAGCCATAACTCATTCTGAGCGCCATGTACAAGTGAGTGCTTCCACCCGGTCTGACTTCATGGAAAGGGTTAAGCCATCTTTTGTAAGTACAATAAAGCAATATTGAAATGTGAGGGAAAGTTTTGTGTGGCCCAACCACGCCCTGTGTGTGCTTGGCAGTAGGCAATTTGTTCATTGAGCAAGCTATTAAAAAACACAGCAGGTAAAGGTTCTGAGTGCAAATACCCTCCAGCAGCCATTAGGGGCTCCCATGGCTGGGCACCATTGCCTCTTCCCTTCCCTGGGAGAGCAGCTCTTCTCTCCATGTTCCTGCTCCTCTCCATTCGGCCCATTAGCCGAGGCATTAAATTTTAACATTTTCCCCGTGCTGCTGTGAGTGAGTGAGTGCCTGGGTGGGTGCCAGGGCCCTGGGGATACAGAGGGGCTCCTGATGACACTTGTGGGATGCTGATATGTGGGCACCGTGCCTGCAGCCCTGGGGGCACGGATGGAGGTGATGGATGTGAGTTAGGGACAGCTGGGTTCGGTCCTTGAGGGCTTTGCACCGAGGACGGGGCTCAGAGCCACGCTCCCCTCAGCACAGCGTGGCTGGGAGCTTTCCGGCCACAAGAAGTTAAAAACCCATCGATGTTTGCCATTAGTGTGGGAGTGGCTGGGATAAATGTGCTGCAACCAGACCAAAGCGCTGAATAATTCCCGGGGAGTGATGACAAATGTGATGGAGAAACTCTCTGTGTCCTCCCACTGCCATTCACGGGGAGCTGCCCCAGGGGCAGGACAGCAGCTGGGGTGAGGGGCTGGCTCCCGGCACCGCTGTGCTGAGTTTGCCAGGACTCCGCCGCAGTGCCGGTGGGCCCCATGGCACCAGCAACGGCAGCTGAGGAGTTAATTCCCAGCCTCACCGCATGGCTCTGGAGCTATTAATACCCACACGCTGCTGATCTGCCAGAGCGAGCGGCGGCTCTGCTGTGAGACCGGTCCTGTGCAGCCACGGCTCCTCGTGCCACAACTTTCCTCCGTGGGCACACTGAGCACCTGCTCACCGCGAGCCCCTGCGCTGCCACTGCCGTGGTGACGGAGCTGGGGGCACCGGGGCCGTGCCTGGCACCTGGCTGCCACGTGGGTGCCAGAAAGGGGCAGCTGCATCCTTTGGCTTTGGAAGCGTGGTGGGGCTGAGACGGGGCCTCATCCTGCCCCAGCGGAGCCCTCACCCACAGCAATGCCATCCCAGATCCCCGCGTGTGCCCGCTGAACACCGGTGCCAACTGCAAGATGGGTGCCGGGACGGCATTGGGCACCGGTGCGAGAGGGATGCAGGTCATAGCCTGGCCCAGAGCTGCCTCCTCTTGTGGTGAGCAAACAGCCCCAGAGCTCAGCCTGATGGTGTGAGGCTCCCCAGCACCATGGCACTGGCTGGGTGAGCCCCACCAGCGGCACTGCTGAGGGCGAGGAAGATGCCAACGCAGCTCCGGTGCTGCCCATCCCGCTGTCCCCCTCGCCCAGGCGCAACGGCCACCGGAGCTGAGCGATGGATTCCTTCTGCTTCGTCTGCTTCCAGAAAGAGGAGCTGCAGCCCCTGCACCTCCACAGGTCAGTGCTGCGGGAACGCGGCGTGGGGCTGGGTTGGGAACGGTGGCTGATGGAGACCCTCCCGCTGAGCCCAAAGTTTGCATTGGAGCAGATGCAGCGTCTCCTGGACGGAGGGGACTGTGCCTTGGCACTGCGCTGTGCCGTGTGCTGTGCCATGTGCCGTGCCATTTGCTATGCCATGATGTGCCGTGCCGTGCCACGTGCCGTGCTGTGCCATGTGCCGTGCCGTGCTGAGTGGGAGCAGGGCTGTGGGTTGGGAAGCACCTCCCGCAACGTCCCAACAGGTTGCAGCAGCTCAGGAGGAGCAAGGTGCAGGTGTGCCTGGCAGCCTGGGGAGCTCAGAGGACAGCGGGGTTTGGGCACTGCCATGCCCCCCCCGGACCCATCCCTGTGCACCAGGAAAGCGCTCAGTGTGCCAACTCCCGCTCGGCCGTCCCCAGCCTTGGGACAACCACAGCACCTGGTGCTGTTCCTCCTGCACCGGCTCACCTGATTGTGGCCCTGCTCTCAGAGCTGCAGGACAGTCCCCAGGCAGAGCCACGAGTGCCGGCACTCTGCTCTTTCCCTCCCTGCTGCTTTCTGGCTCCACAACCTCCTCTCCCATCCGCGTTGCTGAGCGGCAGCCAAGGCAGCACACGGTGCCTGAATTAGCCGGACAGCCGGTGAGGATGCGAGGTGTGAATAACGGCACACGCCGTGCCCAGCTGCTCCTCCCCGGCACCGGGCCACTGCCGGCTGCTGTCCTGTGCCACCGTCCCACGTGCCAGGAGCATGGCTACCAGCAGGGCTGTGCCTTGTCCTCGGTGGGCTCATGGCATCCTGGGCACGCTGTGAGGAGCCCGTCCTCCTGTCCCTCCTACCAGTACGCTGGAAGGTGTAGGATTTATTTTAGTGTTTCAATCCTGTTCTTGATCTAATGTCATGGAGCCCACGTGCTGGGACGGTGCAGCGACGCGGGTCACCAGGGCTGGGAGCGGCGATGGGGGATGGGGCCGCCGGATGGAGAGGGGCGCAGAGCAGCCCTCGGACCCTCCCAGCTCCCATCCCGCAGCTTGATCTGCGCTAGGGCTGAGGGTAACCAACAAAGGGAGGTGACATCCCGACATCCCAGCCAGGGCTTAATGACGGGGCAGAGCGGCATGCTGGGCTGCTGAGGCCGGGTGGGCTCCCGCTCCGACTCGCGACGGGTGCCGGTCCCCTCTCCCTCGCTAGATGGTGCCAGCGGAACGGGCTGCGAGCGGAGGCTCCGTGCCGTGCGGTACCGTGCTCCAGGAGCAGCGACACAGCTGCTGTCTGCAGCCTCACTCTCAGACCAGGGAGAGCAGTGCGATGCCGTGACCCCGCTACACCCCAAATCCCACCTGCCCTGGGATGACAGCCCTTCTGCTTTGCTTCAGAAGAAGCCCGCTCAAAAGAAGAGCACCCTGTTCCTTTTCAAATCGATCTCTCTCTTGTCACCATTATGCTTCAGTCAGCACTGCTTCATAGCTGCCTGCAAGTATCCCTGATGGCCTCATGCCCCCCTCCTCTCCCCAAGGGGGGGGGGGAGGGCAGCGAGCAGAAGGCTGTGCCCCTGCTCAGCTGTTTGGGGTCCATCCCACTGCTGCTCCTATATCCCCCAGGAGCAGAGATAGGGCCTGGGAGCTGCAGGAGGGGGTGCGGCACCCTGATGGCTGCTGGCAGCAGCTCGGTGTGCCCCTGCCACAAAGCAGAACTGCAGCTCATGGCCCATGGCAGCATGTGCTGTATCCCCTCCTGGACCTTGGGAGCAGCAGCCCTGGGGTGGGGGATCACCAGCTTCCCCGGCCCTGCTCCACCCTGGAAGCCCCCCTGGCCAAGTGCCACCCGGGGTTGAGAGGGCGCTGACCCCTTTATGTTGTGATGAGGTTCCGGGCCACAATAGGATGAGAAGCAGAGGTCTGGCAGCTCCCAGCAAGGCAGAGCAGGGTTAGGGGCTCAATGGGGCAGAGACGGGGCAGATCTCTCAGGCAGCAGGGAGGCACCGCCGGCAGCTCCCCGGGGCACAGCGCATCCCCAGCTGCTCCCTGTGCTCCCGCTGCGGCTCCCGGCGTGCTCCGCTCCTGCGCGCTGCCTGCCTTCCCTCCCTCTCTTCCCTCCCTCCCGTTCCTTCCCAGCATCCCCGCGCCGGCTCCGGGCAGTTTCGGCTCATGGCACCGAGGCGTGACAGCTTGCGGAAGCGTTGGGAGCACCTTCGCTTTGGGCTGAGCCGCTCCCAACTCCCAGCGCTGGGCAAGGGGACAAACAAGCCCTGAATTCAAAGAGGCTGTTAGAAACGTTCTGGACTTTCTGCTTCTGGTTTGCCAGCGAGAGATGCTCGGAAGCAAACCTCTCCAGGAACAGGGGAGGCATTCACGGCACCTCTACCCACAAGCCGGGGACGCACGACCCAGGCTGGTCTCCACTTCGTGGTGCACACACAACTTCAACCCCAGCGGGGCCCTGCGCGTCCCCAGCTCGTCCTTGTGCTGCTCGTGGCAACGTGGGAAGCCATTCCTGGAGAGCCATGATTTGCTTCTCCAGGTCATTTCCCCACTGACTGAGCGCATGCTGGCGCGGGGCGGGATGGGGGCGGGATGTTCCCCCGAGCAGCAGCAGGAATCCCAGGCGCACTCGGATGGTCCAGGACAAATGTGACAAACACGTTTCAGCCATCTCCTTTCATTTTGCTGATCGTCATTAGTTATCAATATTCTTTAAGTGCTTTGAAGACCACGAGCTCGATGCAAACAGTGTTATTGTTATTGCTGTTCTTATTCGGTCCGTGCGTGACCCACATGCCTGCCACGTGCTGGAGCTCTCTGCAGCTTCAAAGCGGCGTCTGATGGGAAGGATGGAGCCCCACAGAACCCAATAGAGCCCCATAGGGCCCCACAGAGCCTCAGGGAGCTGATACCCTTCCAGCAGAACACTGCAGGATGTGCCATGCGCTCACCCAAATGCGAAGGGGCTGCAAATGGCATCACCCTCAGTGCTCCCTGTCCTCTGCCGCCGGCCCCACTTTGTCCCCCGCTGTTCCCAGGGCAGCCGATGCGTCCCGAGGACCCGGCCGCCGGCCCCATCCAGGTTCCCCCCAGCGCCGCTCCTTGCACCTGACCTAGAAACAGCTATAAATAGGGACAGCTGGAGAGATCAGAGGCGCAGCTTCAAACACTGCAGCTGGGGGGTGGTGGCACAGGGAGGGGACAGAGGGGGCAGCCCCACTGCGGATGGGTGCGAAGGGGGGGGGGATGTTGGACCCGCTCCATCCCCAGCGATGGGCGCGGCGTGAGGAAGGTCGCGGTGCCTTTCATCCTCGGGTCCCCCCGGCCCTCATCCCCAAGGGTGGGACCGGTGACGGGGACGGGACGTCGCCGGAGGGGAGCGGGACACGCGGGGGGGGGAGGGGGGGAGGGACGCGGCCGGGATTCGATTCCCCCACGCGTGTCCCGCTCCCCGCGTGGATGGCGAAGGCGGTGCTATGGGCGGAGCGGCTCTGCCCTACCGGGGGGCTACGGGGGGGGAACCGCCGCCGCCGTCGCTCCTCTCTCCGGTTCCGTTCCTCCCGGGAGCGGCGGGATGAACCCGGCGGAGCGGCCCCGCGCTGGGGGCTGACGGCCATCCGCCACCGAGCCCAGCTCCGTGCTGCCCCCGGTAAGGCTGGGGGGTGGGGGTGGGGGGGGGAAGAGAAGGGAGGAGCGGTGCTCGCCTTTGTGCGGGCGGCGGAGCGGCCCTTTTGTCTGCACGGCGAGGCGGTGGGGAGCGGGTGGCGGTGGGGAAAGCGCCATTTCGGAAGAATCCTGATAAAAATCATCGTCGTCGCCATCAAATCACCCGAGCGCGGGGGGTGAGGGGCCACGCGCGACCCCTGGCAACAAGGAGATGGAGGGAGGGGGGAGGGGGGGATTTGGGGACACAGCCCCGCACAGCCACCCGCTTTGCTGCCACCGCTCTCGGGGTCTCGCAGCCCGCGCCCCGCAGGGCGGACCCCGCCCGGTGCCGCCGCCACCTGCACCGCATCCCCTCCCGGCGCTGCCCTGCGGCTGCGGGGCCGAACTCGGGGCCGGGCTCCGGAACGGTGTGGGTAACGGAGTTCGGTCGCAGGAGCGAGGCCGGAGCCAGGGGGCGATGGGTTCTGCCCGTTGGCACGCCGGGGACACGCCGAGGACACGAGGGAGGACGGGGTTATTGGGAATACGGAGCGATGCGGCGGTGCAGGGCGGTTGGATGTGGGGAGAGGACGCGGATGGGGGCACCGAGAGCCTGTTGTCCCCGTCCGTCCCACAGCTGTCCCCGTCTTGCCCCGTCCCATCGTGCCGCTGTGCAGGGCTGGGAGCTCCGGGGGAATCACAGCCTTGATGCCGTGAGCCGCCAGCCCTGCACTCGTCCCAGCCCTGCAGCCCAGGTGAGGTCCCTTCTCTGGGCTCTGCACGGTGCACCCGCTCCGTGGGGCTCATGTGGGGCACCAGGAGCCCAGAGCTGCTTTTGCAGCAGGGTGACAGCCCTACTGCCCTCATGGGGTGTAAAAGAATGGGGACGCTGGGTAGAAGAGTTTTGGGAGGGCGGTGAAACCAACGGTGAAGGAATCACAAAGCCCTGGTGCCGGCGGTGGGGCTGGGAGAAAGCGGGAGGAGCCGGAGGTTGGGGGAGTGCAGGTCCTGCTGGAGACAAGGGCAGGGAACGCAGCCCGAGAGCCTCAGAGGAGCAGCGTGGAGTCACCGGGGCTGGAGGAACGCATGGAGGGACGGGACAGGGCAGGAGATGGCTGCTTATGCAGGGGATGCTGCTGCTGGGACGGCTGTGCTGGGACAGAGGCCTCTCCCGTGAGCCGGGATCCCACACTCTCCTGCTCCATCAGCTCATCCGGAGCTGATCCTGGTTTCAGGGCTGCTGCTGGGCATGGAGCCGGAATGGGAAACTCCGGATCCCTGGGAACGGGGTGACATTGCTCAGGGAAGTGTCACACAGCAGGAAGCCACTGTGGCTTCGTGGAGATCTGGGCAGTGTGGTGTGAGGCTGAAGGCCAGCGGCAAGCCAGCGCTTCCCAGTGCTTTCCAAAATGCTGCAGGCCGCTGCTGTGCAGGATCAGGAGCCCTACTGTGGAGAACAAGGGGACGAGGCACCACGGCCCACCCATCATCTAGCTGTGGGTTGTTCCTTGTTCCTCCCGGCTTGTGGGACGTGGGGCAGCTCCCAAGGTGCCATCTCCCTGCACACATTTGCTGCTGTAGCACTGCTTGTGCCAGTGTTCCCGTGTCACTTGGCTCTCCCCAGCTGCTGCCCTTGGCCGGCATCTGGTCCAGGTGAAGGGCATGGCTGTGTGGCACAGGGTCTGCGAGTCCTGCACGACAGCACAGAGAAAATGGAGTGAGGACATCAGCTGGGCCCTGTTTTTTTTCCCCTGCTCTGGTCACCTTCTAGCTTTGCCCCGTGGCTCTCACCCTGCTACACCACCGAGCCCAGCACACGCACCCCGAGCATCCCCACGCCACCATCGGCCTCGTTAGGCAGAGGTGCCCTTGTGATGTCCCTGGACTCCAGCAATGCCCCTGTGCCCCAGGGAAGGCAGCTAATAATGCAGCTCTGCTGCGCTGCTCCCCACGGCACTGAGGAGCCGCGAGGCGCTGCGATGTTCCCATAATGGGGTCACACGAGAGCGGAGCCGGGAGGCGGCAGAGCTGCCGATGGAGCGGGGCACGGAGAGCCTGCGGCTCGGCCTCGGCTGCAGCCAGCCGCGGTGTGAGCATCGCCAGGGCGGCGCGGGACGCGGGGACGTCGCCAGGTGGGACGGTTGCAGCGGGGCTGCGCCGGGCACAGGTGAGATCTGCTTCTGTCCCTTCGCTTCCGCGTGAGCGCAGAGCTGCGGTTTTTCTCAGCTCGCCCGCAGAGCTGCGGGGTGAGGATCCAGATGTGCGGTGGGAATTTTCCCCCAGCCCTCCCAGACGCGTCCTGCCGAGCGACGTCTCCGGCAAAGTCACGGTGCGGAGCGCTGGGCTGGCCGCCAGCTCTTCTGCAGCATCCTTCCCCGCAGGCCGGGCTCCAGCAGACGCCGCACCGGCCGCAGGTTCCTCGTGGGATGCGGGGTGGCAGGAGGGGACCCCGTCCTACCCCAGCTGCCGGGTGCTCCCCGTGTCACCGCGCCTTGCCGGGCAGCGAGAGCTGCTGCTGACGCTCGGTGCTGGAGGGCCCCGTTCCGTGCTCGGCGCAGAGGCAGAACCGGGACGCCCGGGGCTGGTCGTGGCCCCGCACATTGTGCGGCCGCAGGAAGTCGCTTCCTTGCTTTGTGCCTCAGTTTCCTCCGCCGGGGCGTGGGGGCTCCTGCTCGCTGCCGCGTGTTTCTCATTCCTCGCTCCGTGTCCCGCAGAGCCCCGGCCCCGCTCGGCGTGCTCCTTCCCTCCTTTTCCCAAAGCCCCACCGCCGCGCTCCGCTCCTCCTCTTAAAGGTTTTCCTATCCCACAGTAGCCGGGGGGTTATTTTCTCCTTCCCATCTCAATTCCCAAGCGGCCACCGCTCCCCTGCAGCCTCCTCTCCCGGCCCCGTTCTCCTCAACGAACTCCCGGTCGTTGGCAGAGCCGATGCACCCAGCGGCTGAGCGGCACCGGGTGGCACCGGGGATGGTGGGGGCCGGAGAGCTGCGGGGAGCACGGAGCCAGCCGGCGCCGGGAGAGGAGCGCCTGCCTATAAATACACGGCACGGAGCGAGGAAGCGGTGGGTGGATTATCCTCCTCGCTCAATGAGATAAATGGTTCTCGAGCTTAAACACAGAGCAATTTTAGTCTGAATAGTAGGAGAAATGGTTCAGGACACGCAGATGACGGCGTGAGCCGCCCGCAGAGCACGGTGGGGACCCGTGGCACCGGCGGTGGCTTTGCTGTGCCTTTGGCATCGCCGTGGCTTCGTGTCACAACAGCGCTGCTCACCACAGTGCTGTGCTGCTTCCCTGCCAGCACCCACAGCACCCAGGACTCGGTCCCACCACCCTCATCTCTGTGTAGAGCTGGATGGAAGCTCATCCTCACCCCTGTTTGCACAGAAACCGACGTCTTTTCAAAGCATTTCCTTCTTAATGAAAACTTCTGCCTGTCCTTTTTTATTCCTTTTGCCTGGGTGTTGTTGGTGTCCCGGCCGTCGTCACTGTTGGGTGTTCCATGGCGTGGTGCCACGTTCCCATCCCAACCTCCTTCTGGGGGGACTGTGGCCAAACTGGGAGCGATGCGAGCAGCACCCACATCCCTGGGGACACCCCGTCCTTGGGGTCACCCATCCTTGGGGACACTCCTGTTCCCAGGCCCTTTCTGCTGCAGGTGTTTCTGCAGCACGAACCCTGAGGCATCCAGGCCCAGGAGTGGGCGCAGGGCAGCAGCCTGTGGCGTGGTGAGCTGCTGTGCAGCACGCACTCTCCCATCTCCCATCCCATTGGCAGATTGTCCCCTTTTTTTTTTTTTTTCTTAAAGAACTTTGCTGGCTTGAATGATTGTCTTTCATCACAGGTTAATTAGCAGCCATTGACAAGCAGGATTGTAAATTCAAGTGCAGACAAAGTTCTTCTTGCAGGATGTCACGAGCTGTTTTTAGCCCCGTATCCATTGCACTCCTGCATTAACCCACCTCCACCTCCAGGAACCAGACACCAAAATGCTGCTCCTCTTCCACGGGGCCAACAAAGCTCTATGGAGATGAGCCACTTTGGAGATCGTATGAGTCAAGCCGTTACATTTTTGGAACAGCATGATGTTGAAGTTCCTTTTCTATTTTTTGCCCAGCTTCCCAAGAAAGAAAGAAAGAAAAAAATAAAGAACTGGGATGAGAAGCAGCAGGGCCAGAGTGGAAAGAAACAAGGGTGGGGAAGGGGCTCAGCTTGGATGGGTGAGCCGGTCATTGTGCGTCGGGGCTGGGGCAGTGCCTGCGCAGGAGGCGTTTGTGTGCGTGAAGGTCTCTGCTCTGCTCTCCTCTGGGATTGCCCCTCCATGCCCTCTATCCAGCTCCTCTTTGTTGGCTCTGTTCTCTCCATGCAGCCCCGTGGGGCCACGTGTGGGGCTCAGCCCCGCTCCTGGGACCTGGGGACGAGGCTTGGCCCGGGTTTGCTGGGATATATTTTGAGTTGTTTGTTGTGGTTTATTTTTCCACATTAAAAATCTAAATATATACCAGCGCCCGCCCAGCTGCTGTCCCATGATTTTTGTCAATCTGCTATGAAACAAAACGCTCCATCTCCTTCCTGCAGCCACCCCTGTGGTGCCTGATGCTCGTGGGCGCGGGGCGAGCCGGCAGCGGGGTGATTTGGCTGCGTTCCCGTGGTGTTGGTCAGGATGGGGCTCTGGATTTGTGCTTTTGGGGCTCGGAGGGTGGTTTGGCTGCAGAGCAGTGCAGAGCGGGAGCTCAGCTGTGTTCAGTGGGGTCCCGGAGCAGCAGGTCGGAGCCCAGGATTGAGGGAGAGGAAAGGGTGGCACCGAGAGCTGGGAGTGCCGGGTGCTCAGGGGCTCTGCGTGGGGGGAGTCTTAGGTGGCCAAAAGTCGGTGCTGACGGATGGGAAGGCAGAAGTCGATGCCAGCAGATGTGTGGGAGCAATGAGCTGCGGCGCCGTGGCATCGCAGGTCCCAGGAGTGCTGGGCTCTGCAGGGACGCTCTGCGCGGGCAGAACGGGCTGTGGGACAGGGCAGGGCCAGGCCCCAGGGGTGGAAGCCGTGACGCACCTCTGCCTTGCAGCGCAGCCATGAGCGCCGGATCGATAGAGCAGGAGCCGTCGCGCAAGCTGGCGTGCTGCGGGGTGCCGCTCATCACCGAAGACATGCAGTCCTTGGCCATCCGCACCCTCTCGGGCACCGACATCAACAAACACTACGACCTCATCCGCGAGCTCGGCAAGGGCACCTACGGCAAGGTGGACCTGGTGTCTCACAAAAGCACAGGTGAGGGGAGCGGGGGGCAGGCGCGGCTCCCGGGGGGGCATCGCCATCGGCCGTGCCAGGGGCTCAGCCGGCCCTCTGCCCGCTGCAGGCACCAAGATGGCCCTGAAGTTCGTCAACAAGAACAAAACGAAGCTGAAGAACTTCCTGCGGGAGTTCAGCATCACCAACACGCTCTCCTCCAGCCCCTTCATCATCAAGGTCTTCGACGTGGTCTTCGAGACAGAGGACTGCTACGTCTTCGCTCAGGAGTACGCCCCAGGAGGGGACCTCTTTGACATCATCCCCCCGCAGGTGAGAGCTGTTCTGGGTGCTGGGCTGGGGACGTGAGGGCTTGGTGTCCCTGGATAAGGCCACTGTGCCCAGGCTTGCACATTGCTGGTGGCATAAGAAGGGGCCCTGGTGTTTGCACAGCCGCACATGAGGAGATCACACATCTGTACATGGGCAGAATGCCAACACCTAGGTAGTGCAGCATCTAAAAGCAGGCTTGGGACCCACTGCTCATCCTGTAGGTGGCCTGGGGCTCACAACCTTTCCCATTGGTGGCATGAGACCCCGCACTCATCCCTTGGGTGTTCTGAGACCCATAACTGATGGCTTGGCCATCCCCCAGATGACATGCAACCTGTCCTCTGTGCGTTCTGGAACCCGTAAGCGATGGCTTGAGACCCATCAAACAACCATAGTGCTGTCCAAGACATAGAACTTGTAGCCTGGAACCCATAACCACCCACAGGTGGTCTGAGATGCGTCGCACATCTTGTAAATGATCTGGGTCCCGTAAGTGGTGGCCTGGGACACATCACATGTCTGTGAGAAGGCACGGCAGCCATCAGCTGGCCCTGGTGGCTTAGTCCTGCTGCAGCGTGTCTCTTCTCCCCCACATTAAAAGGTTCAGGAAGGAGAAGGCAGGGCAGTGAGGGGGAAAGGTGCAAAGAGAGACAGAGGGCAGACGGGTGGGCTGTCGCGGGGCGGCACGGAGTGACGGTGTCCCACGGCCGCAGGTGGGGCTCCCCGAGGACATGGTGAAGCGTTGCGTGCAGCAGCTGGGCCTGGCGCTGGACTACATGCACAGCAAGAGCCTGGTGCACCGGGACATCAAACCAGAGAACGTGCTGCTCTTCGACCGCGACTGCCGCCGCGTCAAACTGGCCGACTTCGGCATGACCCGCAAGGTGGGCTGTCGGGTGAAGCGCATCAGCGGCACCATCCCCTACACGGCGCCCGAGGTGTGCCAGGCCGGCCGCGCCGAGGGCTTCGCCGTGGACACCAGCATCGACGTCTGGGCCTTCGGGGTGCTCATCTTCTGCGTCCTCACCGGGAACTTCCCCTGGGAGGCGGCGGCCGCCTCCGACACCTTCTTTGAGGAGTTCGTGCGGTGGCAGAAGGGCCGCCTGGCGGGGCTGCCCTCGCAGTGGCGGCGCTTCACGGACAGCGCGCTGCGCATGTTCCAACGCCTGCTGGCCCTCGACCCCGAGAAGCGCTGCCCCGTCAAGGAGGTCTTCTACTTCATCAAGTACGACCTGATGGCCGAGGTGCGCCGCCGGCCCTCCTACCGCTCCCGCAAACACGCCGGGGACAAGCTGCCCGCCGGGCCGCACCGCCACGAGCCTGGCGCCTCCTGCACGCCCGCCCCGCTCAAGAGGACCATCCTGACCGACGGCCCCGGCACGCGGCTCAACGGCCCCGAGCCCAGCGCCGCCTCGTCCGGCCCAGCCAGCAGGACAGATGGACGGCAGGACAAGGGCAAGGGGCAGATGGTGCTGGCCACAGCGATAGAGATCTGTGTCTGAGGGCGCGGGGCGGTGCGTGGCCCCGCTCCCGGTGGCGCCGTCCCGTCCCTTGGCTGCGGGTGGCTGCAGGGCCGGGGGCTGCGCCTCCATACACAGAAACAAGAAGAGGACAGAACTGGTTGCGCTCAGTAGCACTGAAGATGCCGGTGCCGCCATCTGCCCAGCGGGCAGGAGCTGGGGGGCACCGGTGCTGCCATCCCCATCCCGGTGGCCTCGCTGCCCCTCCGGGACCCCCCCACGGTGCTGTGGGGGGAGGTCCTCCTTGACAATGCGACGGGGCTGTGCGGGGACCCTGGGAAGGCCGATGAGCCCACGCTTGGAGGAGGCCTTCAGGGTGGCCCCCGCCCCACACCGGGCACCGGGAGGGGACGAGGGGACCGGGATGGAGGGGACCCCCCCGGCCCCTCCCTGCCACGATGTAGCAAGTGTCACTGCGTGCCGCCCCATCCTCCCTGCCCGGAGCGATGGCCGCAGCGATGCTCTCTGACAGGGGGGGACAGCCAGCCGGGAGCCACGGGGTCACCCTGAGGACCCCCACGCCGCTGTCCCCTCCGGCCCCCAACTACCGCACAAAGGGCTATCATCACGCTCCCGAAGCAGCAGCAGTTTACACAGCAGTCGCCAGGCAGGTGGGGTCCCACTGCCCCTGCGCCCCCACCACCGGCGCCGCTGCCCCGTCCCCACGTCCCCATGCCCCCGTGTCCCCATATCCCCATGTCCCCGTGTCCCCGTGTCCCCGTGTCCCCGTATCCCTGCGTCCCCGTGTCCCCCCGCCCGCAGGGCCCAGGTCTGGTGGTAGAAGTAGCACTGCACAGACGTAGAGATGTTAGGTGCGGTTCGTCCTCCTTTTTGCCTTAGGTCCCTCCACGTCCCGATCTTTCGTGCAATAATGTAGATAAGGAGCCCCGGTGCCGATGGCCGCGCTGCCGCTCGGTTTCGGGTTTTTATTTCGGGTTCCCCCGGCCGCCGGGCGCCGGATCTTCTTCCCGTAGGAGAGGCTGTAGTGTCACAGACGTTACCTCAGTTTGTCACTGTCAAAAAGGAAAAAAAAAAAAAAAAAAGTAACTAAATACATTAAAAAAAAAAAAACAGAAAAAAAAAAGACACAAATATATCGTTCTAAAAGCCCAAAAAAGCGCTGAGTGGTGGCAGAGAGTTTTTTGTAGAGAGAAGCGAAGCGGTGGGCAGCGCTGGGGGTCGTGGGGACGATGCCCCGATGGCACCGCCTCACCGCAGCGTGGATTCCAGCCACGTCGGCGGGCTAATTTCAATTTCCTGCTAATTATGCAAATGAATGTGGATTTAATTAAGGGCAGATTTCATTAAAGTCTTCTAGGGGAAACGAGAGCAGGGCGGGGGAGAGGAGGAGGGAGAGGTAGAGAGGGGAAGAAGGGATGAAGGCAGCACCCAGGCAGGAGGCGGATGTCTGCAGGGATGTTGGTGGGGCTGCTGGGGCTCTGGGGCAGGCGGGCTCACAGTGGGGACAGGGGGAGCGGGCACGAGCCCTGCACAGCCACCAACGTCTGCTGCTTCCAATGCCCTCACATCAGGGCAGGGAAAGCATTTCTCGGCCACGTGATTATTGTTATTTTTTTTTTATCCAGCTAAAAATACAGATTTGGCCGCACCAAAGCTCCGGGAAATCAATGTCACTGTCAGCAGGCTGTGCTGGAAGGAGCCTCCCGGCCCTGTGCAGATGAGAGGCGAGCTGCGCTGTGACATCTCGGCTCAGCTGCACTGCTGGTAACTCGGAGCAAAGCAGCCCATTTATCCCAGCCCATTCCCCTCCCCGAGCCCCACGGACTTCAGGTGCTCCTCACTCGCTGTGCTGATTTCAGCCCTTCCACCACGTGCTGCTCTGCTCTCCTCCAATCTCGTTTTCTCACACCTCCATCACCCCGCAGGCTGTGGCCCCGCAACCCCAACCCCCCCGGGACCCAGAGCTCCCTGGGGCTGTGCCGTGTGCCCCAGCACCGCTGCATCCCTCAAACCAGCGTCCCCAAAGTGTGATGTCCCCAAAGCACAGCATCCCCCAAAGTGCAGCATCCACCCGGCCGCTCGTTCAGAGCGCAGCCAACCAGCCCCAAGCAGCCCTTCACAAGGCAATACGGTGCCACCACCACGTACTGTGCAGGATGCACCCCTGCAACGGTGGCTCTGAAGATGCCGGGGGATGCACGGCAGCTCAGGGAGGTGATTCCTCACTGCCCTTCGTGCAGCTGCCAGAGCTTCCAGAAATAGCAATGCTGGGAGCAAATGTGACTCATGGAGACCTGAGCCCCCACCTCGGGGTGCTGCCAAGGCCCGGTGCCCCTGCTGTGCTGCTCAGAGCTGTCCCCTGGCTGCCCTTCTCAGGGCCCTGCTGCTCTCTGCACTGTTGGCTGCTGTGCTGGGTGCTGTCAGGGCCCTGTGGGGACAAGCTGCCTGCAATGGGCATGAGAACCCATCCCAAGGTGGGGAAAAATCCAGGCCCAAAATAGGATGTTTCAGCTGGTGGCAGGCTGAACTTCCCATCCCATCCCATCCCATCCCATCCCATCCCATCCCATCCCATCCCACCCCACCCCACCCCACCCCATCCCATCCCACTCCATTCCATTCCATCCCACCTCATCCTTTCAATCCCATCCCATCCCCATTCCCATCCCATCCCATCCCATCCCATCCCATCCCATCCCATCCCATCCCATCCTATCCCACCCCATCCCTCCAACCCCATCCCACTCCATCCCATTCCACCCCACCTCCATGCCCAGTGGAAGCAGCCCTATGAACATCCCCAGGCTCCGTTGGTGCTCCCTTTGGGCTCAGGCGGATTTTGGTGCAGGGCAGAGGCACCCAGGAGGCTGCTGGCACCCCTAACCTGGCTGCAATTATATGAGTTTTGAAAATTTTCCTCTAAAAAAAGTAGAAAATTGACATTTTTTTTTTTCCAACAGCATTCTTGGGCTGAAAAAAAATTGGAGCTTTGTCAGTGGGCTTTTTTGGGGGGGGTTGACAAGTTTCAGGGCGCAATGAGGCCCAGGGCAGGCATGAGGGGATGAGGGAACACCTCCAGCACAGCCCCCCCCTGCAGCCCAAACATCTCAACTGTGGGCTCCAGCTCCATCGGCCTCCCATGTTGCCATGGCAACTGCTGCATCCCAGCCTTGGCGAAGCTGGGAGACATCGGCAGGGATGGGAGATGCTGCAGGATGGGATGGGATGGGAGATGTAATGGGAAGGGATGGGGGCTTTAATAAGCAGCCTACACCATCTGTAACACCTCGGGGCTTACAGCCAGCCAGAACACCTCCAGAGCACGCTTCAGGTGGATGTTCATTGTTTGCAGCCCTGGAGGTACCACCATGGAGAGACTTTGGCACAAAAGCTCACAGGTGAGATGGGAGGGCAGCACAGCCCCTCTGCTCAGCTTCCAAATGCACCCCGTAGTCCAGCACAGGTGCAAGCATTTGGGTCAGCCTCACGGCCCACAGCTCACTGCCAAAGGCCGGGGCATGGGCAGCACTGCGTCCCACTGCTGGCAGGGGCTCCTCTGCGCCCACCTGGATCCCAGGGCTGAGTGCTGAGGGGGGAGAGCAGCTCTGAGGGAGAGCAGAGCCTGTGTGGAGGAGGCAGCTCCTGCTGGAGGGTGGGACGGATGTCAGACAGGTCGATGGATGGATGGATGGACGGACAGGTGGATGGACAGGCAGACAGATGGACAGATGGATAGGTGGAGCTCCAGTCAGGGAGAAGGGAATGGAGCAGGGATGGATGCAGAGCAGGCACCGCAGCCCCAAACGCCTCCAGGGACGGGTGCTCACATACACACACATCTCAGCTCTCTCTCCTGGGGCTGCACCTCCTCACACAGAGCTTCTTCCTGCTGCCCATCAGCACTCCCCTCACGGAAGCATCCATCACCTCCAGCCTTGCACCTGCCCAGCCTCCCAGCTCCCAGCGCTGGCTAACAGTGAGCTGTGTTCCCTGCATTCCCTCCTTCCAGCTCCTCCGGGCTGGAGAGGTGCAGCTCCCACAGCCCTGTGGGACTGGCCCAGCTGTGCCACAACCCGGGGGCTCCTGAGGAGCCTTTCCCAGGAGCACAGAGTGGAGTGCAGCAGTGCCACACCGGGCACGAGGCAGGGATGGGAGAGATGAGGCCAGGTTGGGTCCGTGGGCTGTGCCTCACATCCAGACAGGCTTCAAAACAGCGAGGTGTTGGCTGATGGGCTGTGCAGGACGAGCACCGCTGTGCGGCCAGGATGGAGGAAGGATGGAGGGCCTGCGCTTCCTGCTGCCCACCCAGCGAAGTCTGCCAGCTAAGGCAGCTCAGCCCGGAGCAGCAGCACGTGGAGCAGCACAGGACGCAGCCCCCGGCCCCATCCGTGTGCCCAGCAGGGCGCTGGGCTGCGCTCAGGCTCAGGGAGCAGCGGTGCCATCGGCTCGTGGCCCTGCCAGCCCTGGGCTCGGTGCGCCCCAGTTCCGGCAGCTGAAGGAGCTCAGAGCCGATATCTCTACCAGAGCCTCAACTGCTTTAATTACCCACATCTGAGTCATCCCCAGCTCTGCTTTACCAAAGCTCGCAGCCCTGCAGACAAATCGCCCTTTGTGCTCCTCCAGTCCCTGTCCACGGGGAATTGCCAAGTGCCAATTAACCAGCAGCTCCTGCTGCAGCGATGCCGCGGGGAGGTGAGATGAAGAGGGGCTGCTGCCCGCGCCGTGGCCTCAGCCTGGGTCGGTGGGGGAGGCGGCAGCTCCAGGATGCTGCAGGTCTGCGCCGTGCCACGTCCCCGTGGAGTCCTGCATCCTCCAGTGCCCCCGGATGGATGGATGTAGCCGGCAGGTGAAGGCAATGCCGTGGCCAGCGTGTGCCTCCAGGGCCAGCGTGTGCTCCTTCACCTCTGCTGGCAGTGCAACGTGAATTGGGCAGCAAGGATGACCTAAAACTGTGCAGATGCTGCTGCAAGCAGCAGAGCGACGGCACAGCTGTGCTGCAGGGTCAGAGCTGGGCAGGGAGCTCTGCTCTGCTCTGCTCCCTCGGAGCTCTGGGAGGGGCTGGGGTACAGCCCTGCTGCTGCACAGGGCTGGAGCAGGAACTGCTTTCTGGGGGGTGAATAATGTAAATATTACAAAAAAACCAACATCATTCCGGCCCAAATCCAATCCCCACATTCAGTGTTTCAATGCCAGGTGGCACCTGCTTGCAGAGCTGCTTCATTCAGCTGAGTTACGGTGGAGAGGGGACGTGAAAGTGGAACATCTGAACGCTGCACTCCGGTTGCTCATTAATTTTGAGTTCTTCCTTGTTGTTTGCACTCACGATGGCACTGGGCATCACCTAAAGCCACAAACCAGGCCTGGTGCACGGGGACATCAGCTTTGTGGGAATAGATAGGATGGAAGGAGACAAGGTGAGAGCTCTGCTTCCCCACAGCCGGTGCAGGGTGGGGAGGGGACACGGCCCTGCAGGGCCCGAAGGAGTTAACAGCGAGTGCCACCTCCTGTATGTTATCTCCTCCATTGAGGCAGCTCCATGCTGGCAGCGGAACAATGCCAAATTCTGATGAGCTCTGGTTTTCCAGCTAGAGGGGAGGCACGGGAGGGTGGGGAATTAATGCTATTCTGCATAATTTTTAATCTAAATTCCATTTCTTTTCTTTTCTTTCTCTAGGAAGCAAACAATCTAGGGGGTTTTGTACTCAATTCCTTGCTTTCATAAGCTAAATGGATTGTTTGCAAGTAGGAGCCAGCTGCAAAGCTGGCAATCTCCAATCGGATCTGCCTTTCTCCTCATTCCAGCCATCCTTAATTCACTCCTCAGCTCCGAGGAGCAGATCCTGGTGGCCCTGGGGCGGTTTGCAGGAAGGACGGCTGAGCTGCAGCTGTTTGTGGCACTGGGCAGCAGGATGGGGCCCTGCAGCTCTCCAGAGAGCAGAAGGGTGCTCAGGAACGGCTGCTGAGCCCATGATGGGATGCCAGCATTTTGGAAATACTGGAGGATGATGTTTTCCCTGCTCTGTGCATCCTGCCGAGCCTCATTAGCCGGGCGTTACAATAAGGACTGGGGATGCTCCCAAAGCACCCGGTGCTGCCCTGTTTCTGTTGTGGTGTCCGAGGCGTGAGGCAGATTCACGACTGGGAAACTGAGGCACGGCTCCCACTGTGTTTGCAGATGGGGTTCACCTCAGCATCCTTTTCATTCTCATTTGTTTCAAAGCCGTGTGTGGCTCGCAGGCACGACAGAAGCGCGCTGGAGTGCAGCAAGATGACCTACTTACTGAGCTGCAGGAGCTGCACAGCCCTTGGGTCACAGCAGCTCCTGGGACCCCAAGGGATGGGGACAGCTGGCACACAGAGCCCACAGCTTCTCTCCAGGGGATGCACGGCCCCAGCAGGCAGCCTGGGCAGCTGGGTGGGCACACAGCTGGCAGCAGGGCCAGGGAGCAGGACACGTGAATGCTGGGCTGCCCAGCTTCCAGCCTCCCTCAACGCTCAGCTCCCAGGGGAGCCCATCTCCCTCCTTTTATCTGCATGCCATTTACTGGGGTTCTGTCTTCAGTTCAAAGGCGACAGTAGCATCAGAACATGGAGTCTCGATGTGCTCGAGAGTGAGACAGCAGAGAACCTCTGCCCCCGTGTTTACCTCCTGATTTTTAACCCAGTCTGACGAATCCTCCATGAACACAAGCAGATCATGAATGCACTCCATTAGAAATTATGCTGCAGTTCAGGAGGATTTGTTCCTGGGCGCTGATCCTTCACCACGCTCATTCATCTAACAGGATGCTTCAGAATTTATTATAATGACAAACAGGAGCTGGTGCTCCTGGAGGCTGGAAGCAGCTTTGTGCCCACCTGCACAGACACCCCCTGCAATATCACTGGCCCACGGGCTACCTGGGGGCTGTGACCAGCAGCTAGCAGCTCTGGGATTCAATGCGGAAGGTGCTGTCAGATGTCAGGGAGTCAAAAAGACAACAGAGCAGCTCTTCAGCCTGAGGAGACAAGAAGGAAAAGGAGAGCTGTGAATTTTGTGCATTGCAAAGAAACTCCCTGCAGACTCCTTCCCACCCAAGCTGTCCTATGGTTCTGTGATTCCCCCACGGGGTGTTACCTCCTCTCTTCTGCCCCTCTAATGGTGGTAGGTCCCACCCCACGGCCCCATCCCCAGCTGCACGCAGGGAGAAGCTCTCCCAGGTACAGCTGTAACAGTCTCCATCTGGAAATCTGAATTCTCATCCTATTTCCTATTCCCAGATCACGCTGGGAGTCGGTATGAAGTTCCTTTTCTCTCCCATGGCGTGGCTCCACCAGTGAACACCACTCAGACCGTGAGGATTTGCAATCTGTGCACACTTAACCCTCTGAACTTTGCCCGATATCATGGTGCTGCTCATTAGCTGTAACCTGGAAAGCCTGGCTGACATTTCATAAACTCGTTAGCAAGAGATCAGAGGATCAAACACAGTTTCTAGGGACATCTTTTGAGCTGCAGCCATTCCCAGGTGCACAAACCTGGCTCTGTGATTTCCAAACCCACTGTGGACCTGGGAGCAAAAGGGTCCTTTGAAGAGAGCCAGGGCTCACTGCTGTGCTTCCTGCAGCCCCAGGGAGAAGCCCTGCAGCCTGCACTGCCCCAGGAAGGGCTCGGTCTGAGCTCTGCCCCGCTGCCAGCTGGGCTGCTCCTCCAGAGCCACACAACCCAGCTGACATTTTCTTTTAAAATCCGACCCCTCTGGATAAGCTTCATTCACCACAGGGACACAAAAGGTCCATCTATTCCACAACCATCTCTACTTGCCTGTTTCTCATTTTGAGGATAGAGGAGATGCTGCGCCACGTCCAGCACCGACTGCTTCTGCCAGCGCACACTGGGGGTAAAGACAAAGGGAAGGCAGAGTTATTTTGCCATCTAAGCTGTTGAAACTGCTGATGACCCAGCTTTAGGCAGGGCTACGCTCAGTGCCAGCAGCTCTGGCCGCGTGCATCTGTTACTGAACTTCTTTACACAGCTAAATCCTGGGTTTTACAAAGCTTTGTATAAATGGATTTGGATTCTTAAAATATAAGCCTCCAAACAAACAGTAATGACCCGTTGCATAATGGGGTCTGTGGGGCAGTGGGAATACGCACACATCCAGATATGCCAGGTCTGTGCAAGGGCCTTTTGCTCACCAAAGACCACCAATGTGTTTTCCCAGGCACTGAAGGCTTCCCGTGCTGCCCCTCACAGCAGGGCAGACTGCACTGCTCACCTCGTGCTTTGGTCCCCTTTAAATCACATAAACTGACCACGAGACATATTAGAGACATCTCAAGGCAAGACACAAAGCTCAAAATTGCTTTCCTAGCCAACCCCATGCACGGGCAGAGCCTTCAGCCCCTGGAAGTGCTTCCAGCTCCCTGCCCCCACACCCAGCTCCTGCACTCGGCAACAGTTTTCCCTCCAGTGGTTTCCATCAGCCCCAGGATTTCACATCCTGCACGTTCCTCTTTTGATTTCTAAACCTCCTTTCCCTCCAAAGCCTCCCAGAGATGAGCCTCCTATAGGGATAACATCACTCCCTGCTAACAGCAATTAACATTTGGTAAGAACATTTCAGCAGACAGCACAACATCCAGCTAAGTTCCTTTGCACTTGGAGCTGGCTCTGATTGCCTGCACTCCGATTTTCTTCCCCTGCAGCCAGGGTTTGGGTGTGCTTCAGGCCAGCATTGCTGATGGAGCTCAGCACAACGCAAGCCAGCTGAATTCCTGGGGACCCTACACAACACAGGTGGGTCCCAGCAATCTTACCAGCACCTGGAAGTGCTTTATGAGAGCTCAGACAACCACAAAAGAGTAATTTCTGCTGTGGTCACTATAAAACAGCATCTCTTATTAAGGCGACTACATGTGGTTTGCCACGCACACCAAGCAGAGCCTTTCTCCAAGTTGTTGCTTTGAGCCTGCTTGTAAATCCTTCCCTCTGCCACCCTGCAGCTAGGAAATCTGGCTTTAAAAACAAGTTATGACAGGGAAAATTCAAATGCTTTCTAATGGAGACCTAGGCATCTGAGTGCTGGCAGAACTAGAAAGGCAACTCTCGCATCTGTTTTCCTTGTCTGTAGGTAGGATTGTGTCACTTCCTCCCCCAGGATCTGCCCTGCTCCCACTGTTCCAAGGCTGTGGTTCCCTTCCCCTCACCTCTTCCGAACACCTGACTCCACTGCCCTACAAATTGCCCTTGGCATCCTCCTACATCTCACTCTGGCTCCGCTCTTCGCAGTCAACCAAGCTCACAGACTGCTTTTGTGCCCCCACCTGTGTAAGTTGTCCCCTCCTGTGTTCTTCCTGCACTTTGGTGCAGAAAGAATCCCTTCACAGACACCCAGAGAATGGGCAGAGTGCACAGGGTGGGTGCTGCTGCTGCTGAACACCACCACACAGTTATGAGAGCCTGCAGCTGCCCTTAAGGAACTGCTCCTCACGGCGCATCCTCCGAGTGTTCTCTTCACGTGCCACAGACAGAGCTGGCACAGCAAAGCTCCAGCAGGCTCAGAACAAGCAGCTGCACTAGCCAAGCCTGCTTTGTTCCTTCAGCACCTGATTCCTTCTCATCACAGCCCTGCTCTGCCATCACATCCCCACGGATGGCCGTGTCTCTCCCCATGGCACAGTGCCTAAGTGACGTGGCTCAGCTGCAAACTGGATCCCAGGGCAGGAAAATAACCTCCCTCACTGCAGTGCTTCAGCAGTGCAGCAGAGCCAGGGCAGGTACTGGGATCCTGGGCCACAGCAGTGATACAGATACGTGGTGATGTATTCAGTGCAGGAGAGGTCACGTGGCTCCTGCTGATGGAGGCATAAGTGCAATTAACCTCAGATGTTACTCTGAAATGTTTATAAACTAGGCAGTGAAGATGCCTTAGCATGAAGTGTCCTTGTGAGACACCGCTTCAGTCAGGTTGGCTCGCAGAGACGTTTGTAAAGCTGACTTTAAGCCATCTGATGGCTAATGGTGGAGCAGGGCGCTGCTGGCTGGAGCTGATCTAGCCAAGGATCTGTGCCTCTCCACCTCCCAGCCCTGCGCAACACCCCGCTGCCCCTCCCTTCCACCAGCACCATCCAGAACAAAGAGTATTTTTGTAGAACTGGTTTCAAACGGTTGCAGTTCTGGCAGCAGGGCTGATGGCAGAGCAGCTCCTGCCCCGTGGGAGCGCCTCCAGGATGCACGCACACAACAGCAGGCCAAGGTAAACCTACAGCAGGCAGAAGTGCTGTGCTGCAGGTCGCACCCAGACTCCGACAGCAAAACAAAGAGGTGGGGGATGCTGTGCTGCCTCCTGGCCCCACTGACAGCCCTCTCCTAGAACCTCCTCAGCAGTGATCTCTGGGGCTCCTGACGGCTCTCTTCGTTCCTAAATACCACCCCCTGTGCATGGAAACTTTCCCTCTGGGAGGCAGTGGGTTAATTGGCCTGATAATCAGCCTGCTTCACTAATCAGTCCCTGTAGAGGGGTTCTGTTTGTTTTATCAGGCTCATAAATCCAGCGTTTCTGGTGATTTATTCACGAGGCTGATTTCTGATTTTGCTCTCTGGCGTTTATTTTAAACAATTTTTTTTTCTTCATAGCAAACAGAATCTGCTAAGATATTTCTCCTAGGAATTGTATCGACTCAGCAGGTCTATTTCCAACGTGAGCCCTTATCTCAGAGAATTCCCTGCATTTTGGAACCATGCTGCCAAGCCTTACAGACATTCTGAGCCCTTAACAAAGCATACAACTCACTAGCTAGCATCCTGAGTGTGACTTCAGCCTAAGGAACACTGTGACGTGTCAGTACGTTGAAAACAACATGGCTTAAAACAATCATAGAATCATTAAGGCTGGAAAGATAAGTAGGACCACTTAGCCCAACCATCCCTCGTGCTTGTGATGTGCCTTCCTTCAGAGGAACACGTTGCCTTTGAGTGGCACCAAACACTGTGGGAGTCCAAACCACAAGTGAATTACAGAGCAGTCAGCTGTCCTGGTTTGGATCACACGCCCTCTGGTAGAGAAATGAGGCAGTGGTGAAAAAGTGCTGTTAAAGTGTTATTGTACCTCACTTACCTGTCCAGCAGGGAGTCGAAGCCAATGACTGCGCTGTCTCGCTCTGCTGCTACCACCAGGCACAAACCATCCATTAAGAGGGAGCACTGAGAGAGAGAAGAGCACAGCCTTGGTTTGCTTTCTGCTTAGATAAGGCTGTAAGCCTCACTGATGAGCTGCTGACAGCAGAGATAACTGCTGTGTGAGGGGAGGAAGGAGAGCAGCAGAGGCTCACGCTGAAGGAGTATCACGTCTGAACTGGCGGTTCACCCTTTCCTATGGCATGCTGTTATTCCTGCTCTCTCCTCTCAGAGTGAAAATAAGCTGGGTCTTGGGTGTGATACTCAATCACTAATTCTGCTGGAAGCAGGAACGTGGACATAACTGCAAATGCCTGAGACACGGCAGCAGAAACACTCCTCACTTGGAGGAGCCCATCGCCCTGCTGGCAAGGGAAAGCAGATGCTGTAAACGTTTGCCTTTGGCTCAGCAGTGCCAGTCCCTGGTGGATGCATGCCAGCTCTGCCCACAGCCATTCATCTCTGACAGGAGGACGTGTCTGCATGGCCAGCAGGGGAGCAGGGCCGTGCTGCCCTCTCCTTCCCACGCACCCTGGGCTTTGTCCTTCCTGGAGAGATGTGCGCAGGGACGGCATCCTCGGGGGAGCTGCAGGGGGAGAAAGCAGTGCTCAGACTAATTGGATGCTGGATGTAATTGCTATTCTGTACAGATGTACTTCAAAGGGATGCTGTCAGTTTCAAAAATCACAACCTGAAAAGATCTTACCTGCTTTATTATAGGTTGCACCTAAGACACTCATAAGTACCGATGGGCTGGAAACTGAAATGATTTTATTTCTTCACTGGAACCGCTGCGTGCCTCTGACAGCCCTTTGTTGATTGCTACTGCCAGTATAAGTAGCTCCCCCCTGTTGATTACTGTCTGCTCCTGACAATGTTTTCTTGCACATTCCCCCTTACTGCTTTGCTCTAGCAAGGTTCCTGGAATGGTGGGTTTATCTTACACCAAGCATAAAGAGAAAAACAGCTCTGGGGCGATGCTGCACTGCTGTAAAGCAAAGTACTGGCTCGCCCCAGAAGCAAACCTTGTGCTTACACCCCGTGAGCACTTGCTTAAACCCCATGCTGGACTGCAGTGCGAGTTGTCATCACCAGCGGAACGAGAGATGAAATGAAATCTCTGCCCAGAACTCCAGGGCACCGTCCAAAAAGCAGAAGGGTTATTTAGCATCGTAGAGGAGGATTAATGGAGTGTGATTACAGAAAAGGAAATAGAAACTGTATTTATCGGGAAGAACAAGACAAGATACAACAGCAGAACATACATAACAGCAGCAACTGTGCAGTGTGAGGTGAATGGAAGAAAATGCCTAAAGGGGATGTAGCATTCACAGTAAGGTTATGTTTGCACATCACGATGTCAAGTTCAGGTGTCTGTGAGTTAATGGAGATACAGGAACACAGAGTAGGGAGAAGCTGGCAAGGCACACTGCCCAAATTACTTACTAGTGCATAAGAGATCAGATTGCAGTGCTGTGCTAAAGCTGGTTCACTCCGAGCTAGAACAGCACTGCATCAAATGGCTCTTCTTCCACGGGGAAAGAAGCAAAGCGTAAATCCAGACTCCATACCTTTGCTGCCACCCCGCACTTGGCTCTGCTCAGGATCTCTGAGATGCAGTGAGCCTGTGGTGCATCCAGCACAGTGAGGCGCACTCCAGTCACCGTGAAACCTTTGCCCGTGAGCTGATGGAGCAGTTCAACATAAGGGGGGTCTGAGCCCCGCAGGATCATCGCCGGCAGGATGAGGCAGGTGGTTTGGCAGAGGTTACCGAGCGGCCGATCTGATGGGAAAAGATGAAAACACAGCAGATGCTTTACGTCGACCCCCTTCCACTGCTAACCCTCCCCGCCACAAACGTGTAAGCAGGAGACCAGAGGCATTATTATGTCTTTTGGGATGTTTGCAGGCTGCTCATCCCAAACTGCTGTGTGCCTGTGTGTAGCTGGAGATCACCAGGCAGCAGGAGTGACCCCATTCCAGGAGTCAGGCAAGGACAGCTGATGGTTTGCTATGGGAAGTGTTATTCCACTTACTTTCTCCCAAGCAAAGAAATCTGTTAATCCAGCTGCTTTCATAATCCAAAATGTAATTCTCAGCAACATACATAAGATTTAATGCACTTCATATTTTCCCCACGATAAATCTGTCTGTCCGTTAGGCTTTGTGATCATTATTTGCCAAAAGGAGACGTTTCCTCATGTGCAAGAGCTACCTCTAGCGTCCAAGAGGAGGCCACGAAGTGAATGATGTGTCTGGCTTGCTGGCAGCACTCACTGTATTGTGCCTGACAGCCCAGGCATCACGTGTGCTTGCTTTTCCAGGACAGTAGCTCTTTGAAAAACATTTTCTGAGACACAAACACATCAGGGCTGTACACCGGTTTCCTTTTCACTCTGCTCAGAAATCTTCAAAGCAAAGAGATTCTCACAAAGCAGGAAATTGAGGGCACATACTTTGAGATTTGCTTCCCAGATTGAGCCATACAGAATACTGCAGAATACTCACGCTATTTCCACAAGCAGCTCTGCAGTGTTATTATTACTCTTGTTTCAGGGCTCATACAGTGGCTTAGGAATGGCAGAAATGTTGCAAGATAGACCTCAGCCCAGCCAACAGTTTAGTCTTAAACCTTCACACAGCCAACCTCTGATGTATCAGTGTGGAGCACAAGAAAAGGAGGAGATATGGCCTTACTCAGGTGAGGATGGTTTGCCAGGATCATGAAGTACGTGCAGGGCACAGCCCAGAGCCAACAGAAGGCAATGGAAAGAACCTACTGATAATTCCTCCTTCACAGGACCCAATTCCAGACACTTTTGCTCCCTGTAAATACCACAGGGATACTTTGCCTGGTCACCACTTTGGTATAAAGGCTTGGGATCAGCCCACAGGATCCCAACGCGGAAGCATCTATATAAGAGTTACATCTCCTGGCATAAAAAGCAGAGCATCACAACCTGCATCGTATTCACACCTACCAAGTACAGTCAGCAGAAAAGAACCAGAGAAACTACCAACATCTGAGGGAGCTGACAGGCCTGCTGCTGAAGTTCTGACTCGAAAACAAACTCAGACCAGCAGTAACTGGAAGTTCTTTTTAGCTGGCAGACATCCAGCAGCTAGTGGGAACCCAACGAGATCTCAGACCCGTCCCCAAGAGATGGATGCCCACGCTGCCAAAAGCACTCCCTGCACAAACTGCTGCTTATTTACACCCAGAACAAAAGGTCTCCCTGTCGCTCATCACTGCGGTGCCTTGGTCACTCCTGAGCTTTGAATGGACACTCAAACCACTGTGACAAAACACACAGTAATAGTTCAGCTGTTGCTTATGTTATCTGTGCTGACAGTGCTTTTTCTTCTGCTGGTGACAAGATCAGCACTTCTCATCAGCCCTATGTTTAAACCCATAAAAGAAGTGGTGACAGAAAGGCCCAGCAGGCAAAGAGTTAACTGGCTGGACTCCACCAGAGCTGTTCGTTGTAGCTCAGAGTTGTCGCTCCCTTCTGAAAGGACGTCAATACCAAATCTTGCTGCCACCAGATGGTTTGTCTTGCCATCCAATTAATCAACAACAGCCTCAATCTACAACAAGAGTTATGTATTTCCTTACCAAGATTGCGTGGTTGCCCAGAGCCCAGCAAACTGAGCTGCCCTCCTGTGCCACGTTTTATGATTTTGCGCTGCTTGCTGATTTCCACACTGACTATGGGGTCACATTTCAGGTTATAGATCTGCAGGAAGCAAGGAGAGGGGAGGGGAGGGAGAGAGAGGCAAGTCATGTGAGCACTGTTACCTAATCAGGAAGGATAGCACTTCTCAAGTATTGATTCAGGCAAGCTGTGAAGGTTTTGTTGGTGTTGTGTGCTCCTGTTGTCTGGAGATAAAAGAACATTTTGCACGCATTCTTTCTTACTGGGACTTAACTAACTGTGGTATCTTGCATCCAGACATCTTTCTAAGGTCTCCATTCCCAGCTCTTCAAGGCCAGAGACTCAAGGACCCCAAGTCTTTACCCAGTGCCTAAGTAGTGTGTAGCAGCTCCCTTCTGTCATGGAACAAATTGTCACAGCCATGCGTCCCAGGACAGTGCAGTCCTGATATTCTAGACTGAGTCACAGAGGAAGGATGTCCACATCGTGGAGCTCTTCAAAGGGGGGCCTGCTACTTGATCCCATCCCTTTGTGGGCAAACCTCAGCACTTCAGACTCTCTGATTTTGAGAAGAAGCCGAGCAGAGTGGTCAACTAGTGATTAGCTAGTACAAAACTAGCTGAAGAGGAAAGACTTACCATTTCATTTTAGCCATTGGCAAATTAGGGTACTTCAAAGCAGAGACCAGCATCTACACTGCATGAAGGGCCAGAAGAGCACAGCTGGCTGTACAAGTGCTGGTAGGCTTCTCGGCACTGCCAACAATACAGGAGGCAAGAATCTGGGGCTTTATGCCTTCAACAGGCAGGGGAAGATGTGGGCATCCAGAAGCAAACTACGCCTGTGACTTACAGCAAGGAGAGTCCAATTGGAGACAGCTCTGTCTTTACAGTGCTGTGAGTTGGTACCTCTGTTGGCAGGTTATGTGGGCCAGTACCCTCCTCACACCATGGGGCAGCACTGCACACCAGGAGCATGTGCACACATGGGATACATTCAGCAGCCAGCGAGTTCTTTTATTAGCTGTCTCACTTCATCTCAGTTGCTGAACGCTACGTGTGAAAAGCTGGTAACAATCAGCCTGTGGGTCAGCTATGCCTAAACTACCATGGGTGGTGTTGGTGTTGTTTCCCATGACCTGCTTCCAAAGCGATGCTGGCTCAGTGTAGGAACTTGGCTTCTAAAGCAACAGCCCGGAGCCTTCCTGAATTTATAGCACAGGTCACTGAACAAATGCATCTGAAAAAGCACTTTTCCTCTGAGACTGTCTGGGTCAATACAAAGTTAGCACATCGTGGCAGGGACATGCAGAGGAGAAGGAAATCTCGGCAGCCGGTGAAACACAGCAAGAAAGCATTATCTAAAGTGTAAGAGGAAGGAAATCAAGGGCTAGCAGGACCAAAGCCATGGCTCTGACACAGCAGGAGACCCTTCAGAGAAGGGCAGAATCCTACCTCTTCCTCCTGCAGTGTCTGACACTCGGCGCAGCACAGACCTTCTGGGAAAAACAGCTTCATATCCCGCACGGATATTTGGTAGGATTTGGAGCCTGAGAGACAAATACAATGAGAAGATTCTTCCAGGGCATGAATTAAACATTCTCTGGACTCGCACTCATCCTCCTGAAAGATTGATGGCGTGCAACTTACTGAAGTGATTGCTTTAAAGCCAGCTGTTCTGTATAGCAAACATTTAAAACCATTATATTTAGAATAATTCCATTGCATTCCATTGCATTCCATTTTTGGTATTTCGATTCTGCTCCATTATCACTCACCTGTCCTCCACGTAAATAAGGCTCCCTCTATTTCCTAACAGTGTAGTCAAGGGAATCACATTAAGGAGTCAGTAAACACCACCTCTAACCCCCTGTTCTCCCCATGCTCTTGGATCATGTCAGGCTGGTCGTGTGGAACGGAGCTACAGGTTACTAAAACCAGCTGTACTTCATTAGAATAATGTAAGCCCCTACCATGTTGGTAACTCCTGTACAACAGAGCAAAAGAAAGAAGATGAGTATGAGACACTACTGACAGCAGTGCATTGCACCATTCATCTGTAGTCCTGAAAAGCAGACTGAGACTGGAAGAGGTACGAAGAATGAATGTGAAGGTCAGAGAAGGAGCAGGGAATCATCTGAAGAGTCTGAACTAAAGCCCTCTGCCTGATGAACCCAATGTAACACAAAGCTAAGAAGGAATACAGAGAGGTGAAGAGGTCAGAGAAGGGAAAACTACTTAGAGTACATGCACTGGCACAAGAGCAAACAGATACAACTTGTGCATGACTGCATTTAGAATCGAAAACGTATGAAAATTTCCAGCTGAGAAGTTCTTTAACAGCAACCCAAATTTGGGTGAATGCTTATGAGAGGAAATAGATTACAGAACTCAGTGACTTACAGGTCCCTCCAGCTCAGCAGCTGAGTATTTCTCCATAAAGTTACAGTGTTAGAAACCACTGCTCAGAAGGTTTTGAGGTTTGTGAGTGGAAAACGTTTGAGAAGGAAAAGCTATTTCTAAATAAGCGGAGTTCAGACAGACTGTCAGCGTGCTGGCATGGATCCACACTCCTGGGATACAAATACACAAAAGGCAAATCTATTCTGAAATATTATCACTTCTGCAAACTATGCATTTAAAAAAAAAATGGTGCCTTACAACTCCTAGAGCACTCAGCCCTGCGTGGGCAGCCATAATTCTAAGATCACATAGCCAGAGTGCTTAACAGTAGTTTACAGCCCTGAGATTGTATATGTCACTGGTGTATAAGTCATGCTGTGTGCTTTATGTACCTCTGTGTCAAACCTTCCCTGTTTAAATCACTGGTGCCATTACAAAGGGGACACAAATGTTCCCAGTGCTACTCTTAGCAACGTTTTACTCTTACTTTTCTCAAGGTGTAATGCTGTATAAGAAGCTCTTTGGGCTCGAGAAAAAGCACTGCACAGTGATTTCATAACACACCGGAGAGATGGAAGGAATGCAGGGTTATCTCTACAGCTGAGCCTCAGAATATTAGAACTGCTTTACTTGGTTTGACTGTTATCACCAAACCTGGCCTTCATCCTACCAGAACTTCTCTAGTCCCTTCCAGAGGAAACACAGCTGGAGTTTGCTGCACTTCAGCACAATGGCACAGGCTAGAGACCTTCCTCAGCTGGAGCAAAACCAAAGAAACACAGCACTCCCTGCGAGGAAAGAAGCTTCCACTGTCCCCCAGATGACCACTTGTGCACTGACGATGTTTCCTGCTTAACTTGGACACAAATATTTCTTCCTTTTTGGAGGACAAACTCTAGGAGATGCGAGGCGTTAAGGGTCCTTAAGGACAGGCTCCTCCTTGGCAGAGCAGCTGGATCAGATTCATGGGTTTGAGTTGCTGTGTGCATAAGCTACAGCTGCAACTGTTTTCCTTGAATGTGTGCAATTAAGGCTTTGTGAGCCACGCGCAGAGCTGGGATGCTAATGCACAGTCTGGTCTCTGCAGGCAGGTGGGAGCCAACCAGCTCTGTTCTGAGCCGAGCCCAGTCGTGGAAGGAAGCAGGGATCTGAAGGGAATCTCTCAGAAAACATCTTCCTTAACACACAGCTCTCTGTAACCTCCGAGTGAGAGACAGGCTGAGAGTCAGCTTCCCTTGCTGATGTAAACTGATCTTTAGAAGAATTATGCTAGGGAAGCTCCAGGTGTTGCGTGGGTATATTAAGTTGGGGTATATATTACCCATAACTGATGAGTTCTCATTCTCAAGGCAACCCAGGAAGACAATCCATTAATCTTAAGAGCAAAAGAAGCAGGGGTATAGTGGAAAAGTACTGGCTGAGAAGCCTTGAGCATCTCTTATGTAGGTAGACCTGCCCTTCTGTCACTCCCACAAATGAGAACCTATGAGTAATTGTGGTGGGAGATCTCTCTCGGTTTAGTCTTGGTCCTAAGGATTATGATTGTATCTGACAAAAAGTAACTCTACATCAAGGAGTTGATTCCCTTCCCACAGCTACACGTGGTGGGCTCTTGATTGCGAGTTCTCCTCGGAAGACCACGATATGGACAAAAAGAGGGAGTACAATACAGAGTGTAATAGGGAGCACCAATTAATCCAATGGATCTTGACAGGAAAGTTCTTTTGGAAACCAAAAGCATCCAGTCTCTGCTAGCTCAACTGTTTTTATGGAAGTTATTGATTGCGTTATTTTTATACTCCTTTAACTACATCCAGCACAATATTGAGAAAAACAAACTACTAATGAGCTGTCAATTAATAACGCTTAATGCCTTATGAATTTTTGAATGACATCCTTCCTCCTCCTTATTGAAACAGCCCAGACCCTCCATTATGATATCCTTGGTTCTCTTCAGCAGTCCTTCTCATTCTCCCATCCTTCACCTGTACTCTCAGCTGTTTCCCATTCCAGTCATGGCAGCATCCTCGTTCCTCCTGCTGCTGGTGGAGGAACTGTGGCTGGTTCAGCATTAAGGATGCTGACTAGCTGACGTGCCAGCTGGCAAGAGCCTCTCAGAATGGAAAACAGCTGAGTTTACCTGCTCTCCTCAGTGGGAGTAATTTTTGATCGCCTCCCTCTAGCCAGCCATTAATGTTTTGAGACATTACAGGAACTTGGTATCCTGGAGTCTTTTATCCCTCTGTGAGAGATGGCTAGCGAGTTATACACTTACCAGGAAGAGAGTCAGAAGCATGGAGACAAATGGGTTCTTGGGGATAAGTACAAAATAACCAAGCTAAAATCACAAAATGACCGAGCGGGGAAGAGATTAAAAGAAATCTGTTCTGATGGAAGACAGATCTGGGGCTGTTCTGAGAAGATAACTTTTTGATATATCTTCTGGGACAATGTTTCATAGCACGAGATGTACTCAGGTCAGCCACCAAAAACACAATCGAAACTTTCTAGGGAATAATGGTCACTACTGCCTGCCAAGGCTGGATCTGTGCTGACAGTGCAGGAGGGTAACAGTACATTACGATTTTACCATTAGCTTATCTGAGCCTTCAGACTTTTCTTAAACAAAAACCTACCATAAAATCCATTTTGGACAGTGCTGAGGCCATACTGAGCCCTCCAGAAGCATGGATTTAGTGCTTGGGCTACTTGAGGGTCCTCTGGCCCTAGAATGTCGATCAATTTCTTCACAGCATTTGGTCTCTGAAGACACAGCACAAGAGAAGTGCCTGAGGTAAGGTAGGTACAGTGAGCTTCTAGAACAGCAGGATCCTGGAAAGAAATAGCAGAGAGGGAACAGATTACAATAAATGCAGCAGATGAGTGCTGGATCCCAACCCTCTGGCTCAAACCACCTCTGAAGCAAACAGACCTGACATTATTCCTTGCTTTCTCTTCCCTTTGCAACATTCATGCTAGTGGCCACTGCACGCACAGCTTCCAGAGCACATGCAATGGCCACCAAGCTCGTGTACCTGCTGTGCCATTCACCAGGAAATGGGAGGCCCAGTTCCCACCCTGGGCACGCATGGAATGAAGAAAAGTTCAGCACTGAGCTCGTATTTTAGCCATAGCAGCTTTCACAACTTCTGCAGTAATATCCTAAAATCCCCACAGTAAGAAAGGAAACAAAATCCTGTTTCCAAGAGGAAAAGAAGCCTTGTGCTGTGACTTGTTCTCCCATCTGGAACACAGACAGCAGAGCTGGAGCTGCCATTTGTCCTTACCCGCTACAGATGAATTGTCTCTCTGAAGTTCAGTGCCCAGTGCTCAACCACTGATCTGTGGGATGCCCTTTTCTCAGCACCTTCAGTGTGACATATGGGTAGGAAAGTGATGGACAGTAGAAATATCATCATGGTCATGAATACGTTCTGGGATAAGGAGCCACATTTAGTTCTTCTGCTTAGGTAAGAAGACAAATAGCAGAATTTTCTTTCTCAGTTTCATGAAAGCAGTGCCCCCCACTGCCCCAATACACACCGTGCTGTGAGTCTGGCTGGCAGAATTTCATACAGTAGATGGGATCAGTGCTACTGAAATAGCGAGCTTTAAACAAGGATGCTCAGGACAGGACACTGGACTGGAGCTGAAAGAAAGCAGCTCAACTCCTGGCTTTCCCCCTGGTATAATGTGTGCTCCATTGCAAATTTCTCTACCATTTTTTTCTTTTCCAAAGGTTGTCAGTTCACCTTGAGCAAAGAGATTCCTCACCTAGCTGTGCAGGCCGCAGGATCCTGAGATCTTTAATTCAGGATGAGTGTTAATAAGCACTAGCACTCATTGCACTAGTGACAAGAGAGTGATTTGTTGGCCAGGGATGGACATAACGAGTGAGAACTCTTGAGAAAGACAGCGAGAGCCCAGGGCAGAAGGTGGCTAAGGAGCAAAGCAGTCCAGGACCCTGCTATTCTCATTGAACAAAGCCTTGCAGAGCCAGCTTCTTTGCAGATGTTTCCATTAAATGTGAGATCCACTGTAGCAGCTGTAGGCTCTTTCAGAGCCCTTCATCCTAAAGAAGTGGCAGAAGCACCCAGGTCTGCCTCCCTGCCCTCCAAGTGACCAAGTGCAGCAATGCCAGCATGCAGAGCATCTCAGCCAGCACTGTGCATACACACAACAGCACCTGCAGCTATGGATTTTTAAACCAAGCTATGGATTTTTTACTTTTAAAGCCATTGGTGAAGAAATTAAAAGCTGGAGGAAAAACTCTTGCTTGATTCAGCTGAATTGCATCATTCAGTTCCCCAAAGGTTTTCATTCCTCTCTTTTTTAATCTTTTCAAAGCACCAGAGAATGGCAATTCTCAAGATAAAACATTTCCAAAAGAAAATCCCATCCTTTCTTTCAAAAATATGAAAATAAAACACTTTGAGGCATCTTTTGTTTTTCTATCCTATGAAGCCATTCACTGACTTTGACCCAAATCTTCTCTCACTCACATTCCCCCTAAACTGCCTTTTTGTAAGCAGGCTATAAAGGAAAAATCATTGGCTCAATCCCAATCTCCTCCTCTGTATTTGGAAATGCAGAATGATCTGAGATGCCCCATTCTTAAGCTGGTTATTTGAGATAAGAGGTCTGATACAACCTGTGATATTTGTGAGATCCCAGCCCATAGGAACACAAGACAAAGGGCAGCAGGGACAGCTGTGCTGGAGGAACACAGAGGGAAGTTTCAGAGCTGTGCTGTGATGAGGGCTCAGACATCCACATGTCACAGCATACTGCAAATGTGTGACATTAATTCAGTTCTGTATAATGCTAAGTAAGCCCTTTAGGCTTGGAAAACTTTGATAGTGTAAAATATATGCACATAATCCACTTTTCTAAGACGTCATCAGGACTTCAGCTGGGGAGACACAGAACACTGATGACGTCTCCATGCAAACTTCCCAAAGCTCTAGATACAACATTCCATCTAACTCCACCTCACACACCTGCAAAAGAAAATGTTCAGAGGTGGTTTCTGTTAAAAAGAATGCAACAAACAAAATTGTTTTGTCCCAGACCCTACAGAGTGCTTTAAGTTTATGTAAGTTTATGTTGTCTCTGTATTCCTTCTTTCAGCTTTTCCCTAGGAAATGAGCAGGCTTCGGGCTAGTGACGATGTTGTTTCTGATGGCTAGAATGGTGTCAGTGAGACAAGGTGACTTCTCTCCCTGTGCTGCACCCCCAGGTCCAGGCAGGGCTCTGCCAGCCAAACCATGCCTCTGCACCAGCCTCAAAGCGAGCAGCTGCAGCGAGATGGCACGTGTGCAGCTGCCTGGAATTCAGTGAGCATTTTGTTGATGCATACAGAGAGGAAGTTCCAGCTGAGTGCTGGCTCCGGAGGACTACAGGATTAAAAACAGCAGAACTGTTCTTCTGCTTCCAGCATCAGACTCGCAAGGCAAGGCTGGAGGGAATCCATCATGTTACTGAGTCTGGGGACTTGCTATGGGCAGTCAGAGCAGGTAATCCAAGGGCAGCAGATCAGCCCCGCTGTAGAATCAGACTTTCTAGCTAGCAGCCACAGCTGTGAGTTTGGGATCTGCTGAATAAATGCAGAAAGGAAAACCTCCATAGCAGAACTGCCGCTGGAGCAGTTGCTTCTCACAATCTTAGTGCTATAGGGTCATGGTAAAAGCTGAGAAGGCAATGTCTGCTCTATTTAGCTGACCTTTGTTTTTATTATCATCATCATTAGCTTTCAGGTAAAAAGCATTGCTGCATCTCCTGTGATTGGGTAACCTCATCAGCCCATTACTTACTGTAGGCCAAAGGCCAGAAGCTGCTTAGAAGTTAAATGCTAGCATTGCAGTTGAAAAAGCAGTGATGTCTGACAGCATGTTGCTGAGGATATGGGCCAATGTGCAGGTAAGTCACACATTTGAAAGAAGAAGGAGATGCTGGCATTGCTTATAGTGAATAAACCCCTAATCTGACACCACCTCTCTGCTTACCTTGGGAGCTCAGCCCTGTGTGATGAAAGACTTTGGGTATGTTCTAAAAATGAGGAGGAGCCTCCATACAGAAGAAAGCATTTCCTGCCATCCATTCCCCATTGCTAAATGCAGCCTATCATCAGTATTTGTGCACTTTCAAGCCCTGCTTTTTTCCATGGACAAAAGCCCAACACTCTGCAATTCTTAAACTCAGTCACCAACTCTCCAAGGAAACTGAATCAATGCACAACAGCCACTCCACTCAGTTTGGGAACTCTGAAAACAAGAGAATTTTTTCCTGAAATAACCTCTCTTCAAATGTATCCTATGGATGTCTACATTTCTCCCTGAGGTTGACATTTAGCTTTTGTGCAATGCCTTCTGTTTCAGACGATGGTCTAAGTATTTTTGTGTTTAGTTGTGCAATTAAAAACCTTATTGGAAATACCTCCTCAGCAATTCTAGTGGCCACTGTCCCACCCTCAGCAGAGATCTGTGAATAATTAAAAACCAGGTGCTTCTGCCCCATTCCACTGCTATCATGCAGAAAGTGATGATCTTTGCTGATGGATGGTGACGTTGGAGCCCTGTCTGAAGACGCTCTCAGTCTTCTTCTAGAATCTATTAGTGATTTCTACACTGTGTGCTTTAAACTCTTCCAACTTAACTCAAGAACAATATCCACAATAAAGGCTTGCTTTCTATAAAAGTTAACTGGTTAAGTATCTTCAGGAAAGCAATCAGCTAACAAGGATTTTGTTTTTTTTTCAAGAAAAGGAATCTAACTCCTCTGCAATGCTCAGCTTTCCATTTCCTTCCACAATACCTTTATTCTGAGATGATAACAGATGAGTATTTTCCACGTTGGGCGATGAATGAATTCCCAATGCTACAGAAGAGCAGACAAGTCTATCTTTAGCTGACAAACCCCCCTAAAACCCTCCTCACTGTCTATCAGACAGCAGAAATAACAGCAACCCCGTTTTCTCTATTTGCAGGTCATTCTTACAGGCTCTTGAACACAGGCTTCTGGAACAAAGCCTCCACTGCATATGTGATGTAGTACCAAAATGTAACCTGGCTCTAGAGGTACAAATGCCCTGGCAGCACAAAGAAGGTTTCCCAGCTCCCACATTTAAACACACGGAAGGAAAATGAGGCACATGGGCAGAGCACAGCACACTCTGAACGATGCTCTACCTGGATTGACTGCAGGGAAGAAACAGGGGACTCCTGTTCTGCAGTTAAGAGTGAGCACTGTAAATTAGCAATTTAATGTTCCTGGGAGGTCTGCAGCTCCCAGATCCTCTGAACTTTTGTTTTAGAGAAACCAGGTCTGTTTCTTTATGGCGAACGATAAAAGAAACTGTCAGCATGTCAGCTTGCTTTGTGCCTGGTATTGTACAGATCTGATTGTTCTATATAGCTCACTTCTAACAATAACCACTAAATCCCGGATGGGAGTTTTTCCTCTTCCAGGAATGGGTTACTCACTAGCAAATGTATTTTCCCATTCTAACCCTAAACACGGCCACAGAACGGCCAGGTTCATAACAAACCTGTTTTGTTTCAGAAGAAAGGAGTCCTAAGGCGATGTCTGGCTCCAGCTGTACGTGTTTCATCCCAACCACAGTGAATTTTTCTAGGTCAAGCTTTCGGAGGATCCTTGCAAGATGATGGCTCCAGGCACCAGGTTTGATCAGCAGCACCGTGCAGAGGATCTGGGCTCCTGTAACAAAGCACACTGGTGAAACCCAAACTGCTCTTAAAAGCACAGACAAAACAGATAACTCTGTGTATGAGCCAGGACAGGCGCCTATAGAAGAAAACTGGCATGAAGTTCATAGGAATTTGAATTAAACAAGACTGTAAAAAAGCTGTGTGTGTATATATATATATACATATAAACGATCTACAGCAGTCTGGGCTTGTAGACCTTTTCCAGGAAGCCTGCTCAACAAATCCAAAAGTTTTACCTGGCAGGTCTGCAGCACGAGACTCCTTCCTTCATGCTGTGTGTGAAAGCTTTAAGCAGGATAAAATGTTCTTCACTTCATCCTTGAGTGTGTTTAAAATCTGTTGGGATGTGGTGCTCGGGGCCATGATGCCATGGGGGGCTGTTAGTTAGGGCAGTACGGGTGGGCTGAGGTTGGGCTTTATGATCCTGAAGGTCTTTTCCAACCTGAGCAATTCAGTGATTCCACGATGAAATCCTGCAGCCGTTATTTTGTTCTCATTCCTCATGCTTTCATCTCTCAGAGTTCTGCACCTCTCTGTCAGAGCTACGTTTCAGGGAGGCATTAACAAGCGTGACAGATCCCAGCTGATGTTGTAACCCTTATTATAAGAGGGATCATGTCATCTAAAATTGAAATTTCAGCAAAAAGTTTTGGCTTTTGATAAAATGTCCCCAGCAGACCTGCCAGCCATACGCTGCAGAAGCAAAACAAAATGGACCACAATAGTTTGACTGTCTGGTGGCACCAAACCTCTCCAAAGGCAGGAAACGCCTGACCTCACCTCTAAATGACAGCATTTTCAAATCATTCGCTTGGCCAATCTGAAGCGCTGTATTAAATCTAAGCCCCTGTGTTATTGGGACTGTAGTTAAGGTTTTGTCTTGATGACACCCCACCACAATGTTGGGAGCAGTCAGCCAGGACCCGCTAACTGCCAGTTCCTACCCACGTCAATTAGATGAAGCATGAGGTAGCAGTACTGCAAGCTGTTAAAACTGATGCACGATGATGTGTTTGTGTACATAAAGCACCATTTTATGTTTCCTGTACACCCCATTACTAATTATACAGATGTTGATGCAATGAAGCATCAACAGTGCTGCATGAAATTCGGTGCTTACGGATATTTTCAATTAGCAAGAAGCACGTTGGTGATTCAATGACAGAGAAATAGGGGATCAAAAATAAAAAGCCAGGATACTGACCCCATCTGGCATGAAAACTCAACCCTTATCCTACACAAAGGCCTCCTATTGAAGAACTGATGGTTTCATTTCCACGTATTTCTTGAGCGGAAAGATGTAAATGCCATAGCAACGGCCTGCAAGCAGAAGTGAGGCACTCAGATCCACTCAGCTGCTCGCATATCAACTGTAGGAGCTCACATCAACGCGCATCGCCCTCGTGCTGCTTTCCCCACCATCTGCTGTGTTTCTGGGCAAGCTTCCTCATTCTTGTGGCGTGAGAATCACTGCATGCTGTGTATTTATGCCACTTGAGACACCTCAGGAGGGGATCTCCTTATCCCCTGTGCCACCTTGGTCTGCTCAAAGACAAGCACCTAAACCAAGGTGGGACACTTTGCTAGCCAGAGGTGGTTTTCTCTCCCCGGTGACTGTAAGTGCCAGCATTCACCAACACACCACTGCCTACCAAGGAACGGCCCCTGCTCACCATGTGCTACCAGGAAGGCCCGCTTGGCAGCCATCAGACACATCCAGCCCTGGTTCTGGCTGCTCTGCAGCTCTCCTGGACTTGCCCAATCTTCCTGGTGTTTGTTACATACGTACAATATTTTTAGATCCTTTCCTACCAATGACTCCACAGCTCTCCCCACAGTTATCCACATGCGTTTTGATTTGATGATGAAACTGAGTCACAGCACCGTATTTATTTCATATACTATTCATATAAAGCACTTCATATACGAGCACGGCTTAAAATAGTGTCAACTGAAGAGAAGCAAATACCAGATCTCCTGTCATGCTTAGAAAAAAGAATGAGAATCACTGCCAGTATTCAAGCCCAAGGGAAACGTTGGTATAATCCTTCCACTTATTTTTGGCTGGTACATTACATGAGTTAGGTTCACAAAATCCAACCGCATTTCTCAATTTGCTCTTCTCTCACCTGCGTGCAAGTAGGCAAACAGTGATTCTGCATGGCATCTCTGGGTCTCTTCCACTAAGCAAGAGAAGCAGAGAGATGTGGGTAAGTACATATATGCACAATCTGGGATAGTAAATTGAGAACAGTGCCACTATCTCTGCATGACGCAGCTAACGCTGCTCTGACACGCTCATCTTAAAATGTGATACCAAGAAATGCATGGCTTGATTCCAGACATGCTGGGAACCCACTTGTATTGGAACATCCTGGGAGGTGTAGTGCTTACCCCCTCTTCAGAGACCCCAATTGCATGCACTGAAAAGGACTGCAAGGACCGAATTACGGCGACTCGGTTACACTTTGTGTTCTTTCTCAGTCACCATTTCAGGGAGCAGCTGAATTTTATGCCTATAAATAAATAATAGCATTTTATGCCTATAAGCCACCTCCATGCTCCCAGAATTTTACAATTAAGTTGGAAAATGCCATGAAACCCAGGACTGCTTATTTTTTTCCCCCCTCCCCAGCTGTGCCCTTGGAAGCAGAGAAGGGCTGTGTGTTCTGGTACACACTCAGGTAGCAGAGATCTGAAACCTGATGTTCCCTAGTCAGGAATGGTCGACTTCAGAGGTTCCTTATGAGAGCAAAGCAGTGTGAAAGGAGTCAGGTGTAAATGAGCCATAACTAAAGCCCACATAAAAATGTTTCCTTCAGTCTAATGATAAACCTGCAAGTGACCCAAAGAGGTGAGGGAAACGTAAGGCACGTGGGAATTGAGAATTGTGAATCCTGGACTTCTCTTCCCATTGATCCTTACTGGCAAATTTAACCAGTGAGATGTGCAAGGTAGATAGTAAGAAAACCAAAATTTGTTTGCCAAAACAAAGCAATCACCATTCCTTCGTATTTATTACTCTCTGGAATCCATGTATTTCTGTTTCCCAGAGCAACTTATCTGGAAGGTATCTAGCCAGTGTTCTTTTCTTTTACTGAGACTTTTTTTCTTTCAAAAGGTGCATTCTATGTTGCTGGAAATGTTAAGAGAGAATATATAAGGTGAAAGCAGCTCTGAGGTCCTTGCCTTGTAACTTTTAGCTCACATCTTCACAGTACAACTTATTCTCTTCAGCAGTGGAGTGATCTGTTAGAGCCAATATCTGTGAAGCGCCTGCTGGTTTGGTGGCACTGTAGTGCAGAGAGCAGAGCTCCTGACTGAGGCTTAGGAAATGTGTGTTCTGCTCTCATTTCTGTCACTCAGTCACTGGGGAATGAAGACCAGCACCCCTCCAGGCTCCCACTATCCTTTCTGCTGTCAGCTGAAAAGTGCTACTAAAGAGCTGAGATCTTCTCTTCTACATTCCACACCAGCCACAGGTAAGTGGTTGAGGCACACAAAGAACTGCAGAATAAAGGTGATTCTGCAGCAGTACTTCCACCCCCAGTACCAAAAGCAGAGTTATCCAACCTTTACTTCCTAATTGCCCAGGATAATGATGTCTAACCAAAGCTTCACCATTCCATTTTGATGACTCTGACAGAGGGCTTGGAGTTATATTGTTTCTTCCATCTATTTTAAGAGTATAAAATAGTATTTTTTTTGTTATTGAAGAGGGAACTGGTGCACACGTCTGACCTTACCTCCAGCCCTGGATGTCTTGCCAGGTGGTGGCAGGTATTTGGCAGCAGGACGGTGTTCTGGATCTGTAAAAGGAAGATGTGATTTTGTGGATTCACTGATGAAGAATCTTTACTGTTTGGGAGGTGGGGACTAAGGAAAGTAGTCTTGTTTAGCATGGGAAATGGCAGACCTTCCAGTTGCTACAAAATGCTGAAGAGCTGTTCTCTAGCACAAAGACCCTTCCACTCCTCCCACAACAACATAGACAGGAGGAAAGATGCAGTGACCTTACAGAAGTGATAGTGCAGAGTGCTAAAGTCATAGTGAGAAGACACAGCTGTGTCGTGGTGGGAAAGGTGATATTGTGATTGTCACTGCCCCTCAGTAAATCAATCTCACAGTTCTGGATTTCTTATCCTGCCTTCTGGTGTCAAGACAACCTCAGTGAAGGACAGCAGTACACGCAGTCCTACAGTTTTATGCAGTAATTTGGGATGTCTGTTGCACCCTGTTTTGAAGGCTTCCTCTTTCTGCTCTCCAAACTCACACAAAACACCCACATAGTTCACTGTCAGATCTGACTTTTGTGATACTAGAATGAGTGATTTTTTCCTGACACCACCACATTTTCTTCTTTCTACTCAGCAAAGCCAGTTTGTTATTCTGCACTGCACAAGCACAGTGTGTTTGACACAAGCATCTAACTTTGTCTTGACAACAAAGGACCTTTCTTCCTCAGAAAAAGATAGGAGAAGAACTATAAATTACAAAGCATGAACGCATTTGTGGAACTCCACCATTCCTTCTCAGTTGATATGTGGTGTTATCACAGTCTTCATTTATTTATGTGTCTGAACAATCAGAAATCATCAGGTTCAGAACTATTTATCTTGGGGGCAAGGAGTGAAGGATCCCCAAGAGCTTAGGTGACATCCAATGTATTCCACTTCAGAAGAAAACAGTGGGGGCTCATGCACTGCTGGTCAAAAGTATCCAATATGAATAATATCTCAGTCTGCACAATGATTTAAAGGGTGTGGGCTGCACATTTCTTGGTACAGCAGGAAACAAGCAGGTTTTCAGTGCTGAAAGATCAATGCTAGCATATATCATTGAAGTCTGAGAAGTCTTGACAACAGAGGTCTCCATTCCTCATGAACTGTTCACTCTGTTCCAGCATAAAAAGAAGTTCAAGAAAATCTGCTTGCTTCAGCTCTTATAGATTGGAAGTACCTTCATCTCCCTGAGTATAGGGCAAGCTCAGGGCATCTAGACTGAAGAAGTCAAGCATGACAGTGACATGCCCACACATAGATGGAATAGATCACGGCCTCTTATACACAGAAAGAATATTATTCACTGGTCCTGGTAACTCCTGTGATGTCTGTTAAGCATTTGAGTACCCAGAAACCTTCAGAAAGGGAACCAGGCCATGTGTTATGTTAATGTCCTGTGTTATGTTAATAGGCCAACTTGCAGATGACCTCACTTGACTCCTGCAGATTTAATATCCCTGATTATATAGCCAAGTGAATAATTTAAACCCAAATAATTCAGTCTTCCTGTGCCTTAGGAAAAAAAACTTAGAAAAGGATTTATTCATCCGAGTTCAATAAGTTCCCATACAGCCTGTATCTAAGAACAGTGTAAACAATAAAAGCATGGCTTACCAGCTACCAGATCCTTCTCTGTGAAGAAAAGGACGGCTTGTCTGAACGCTACCTCTGGGGTCAAGGCCATTACTCTCTGCAGAGCACTGTCACTTTCGCTTAGCTCCTCCCTGCACTGTGTTAATCTCTTTAATGCATCTTCAAGGGCTTGGAAGGCATTGATCCGCCGTAAGGCACACACAAGGACTGGATTAGACATCAGTGTGTCAAGGCTTCTCCGCCAAGAAGCATCTCCAACCTCAAAAGGGGTTACTTCTTTTGCCTGACGCCGAGTGAGACGGGGCAACCACTTGAGACCTAGAAGCTCAAACCCTGAATCAGGTCCTTCTGCAAGTCAAAGGAAATATTTCTAGTATCAGTTGACATGTTTCATAAAAGTCACAGTACTTTTGGAGACAAGTGCTCTAATCTATTAGACTAGAAGTCTCAAAGTTGCAAGGGGAGTTTTAGACTGGATGTAAGAAAACAAGTTTTTTTGTGTGATAACGGTGGTGAAACAGTGGAACGGTCTGTTCAGAGAGCTGCCCATCCTTGGAGACATTAAAGGTCAGGCTGGCCTAGGCTCTGAGCACCTGACAGAGCTGTAGGTGACCCTGCTCACTGCAGGGGACTTGGACCAGACAGCTTTTAACGATCCCTTCCAACCCAAGCAATTCCATGGTATTTACAGGGTCAGTCCGTGAGTTCAGGTTGCTGGAAGTTTCAGTCAGCTGGAATCTCCTCTTTGCCTACTGTGATATAGATCTCACTAAACAGCCCCACCTCAAGAGAGCAGGACATAGAATAAGAGTGCAGACAGTATGCCAGACTTCTGCCCTTTATCAGGGCAGTGACTGCATTATTGCACACTAATGCAATCTGCATCATGAAATTACATACAATCTTCATCTTGTTAGCACCTGACAGCACTCATCATTTGTGATCATTTAATGCATGGGACAGCGTCATTACTCCTCCTCTGCATGAGGAAATGAGGCATTAAGAGGTGTGCTGTCTTGTTTCTGGTCACAAAGGATGTCAGTGCACCAGCAATAATAGAATTTGTGACTTCCGAATTCCTGTTGCTGTGCCTTCCCTGCACAGCTGCATTTCCTCTCGCTGCTTAGAAGACAGGGAAAACAGAAAAGGCTTTGCACATACTGGAACTATTTTGACCCTCTCTGAAGAAAATGCCAGCCTGTGTCAAATGGAAAGCAGCCTTGCCCACTAACTAGCCATGACAAACTCTTCAGCACTTCTGGCAGGTAAATGAAGAAATCATTTGTTTAAATACGTATCTCTTTTTTTCAAAGCTTTCTGGCTCTGATAAAAGCAGCCAGACAGGCTCAACTTTCCTGACCAACTTCTACAGCCTCCCCCAGGAGCTGCCAGCAATCACCTGCATTCTGATGCTGACTACTGCTCCCAGGAAGAAGGATCTGGCAAAGGAGTTCTCCAGCACTGCCCATAGCATCCGTCCCAACCAGTGTCAGCAGGACTACTTGCTCCATTTCAGGATCGGAAGCAAATCTTCGGTTGCAGAAAAAATCCAGAGGAATGTTACACGGGTCTGGAACTGCACTGAAGTTTCCTCCTGTCCAGAGACATCATCCAAACAAACGTAGTTACTGCCCATAAACAAACATCCATTCCTGTTTAGCAAAAAGGAACTGGCTAATTCTCTATTAGGCAGTGCATCACTGCGATGCTGCAGCTCAGCACAGCTGAAAGAAGAAACACATGTAAGGAGCAGAATCACAGCAAATCCTCACTAATTAGTCACACTCCTTAACTGGAATTGCTTTTGGCATGTAAAGCAAATATACTCAAACCCTAATTTTGATGTCCTTATCCGCACTGTTTAACAGTGTTGATAGATCTGTAGCAAAATGATTTAAGGCATAAATTTCAGATTGATAACTAAGGCTTGGCTTTGCATTGAATTGATACTTCATATTGTGTTCTAGGAGATTACACAGCATGAAACTGAGGACAGAAAAGCAGGAGACACTGTATTATGTGCATATCCGTTGTCCTACCAGGAACAACACAGCCTGCAGAATTCCCAGTCCCATCAGAAAGCTGGGCTTCATTCTATACTGTTTCAAGTGCATGAATATTTAAGCAACTGTACAGATTAACACCCATGTACTTAACTATTCCCACATCTTAGCATTCATAATGAAAGAAAATAGTGAATGACATGCACTGGATTTCTCCCCCCCCCCCCTCACAATTTATGTTAATTTGGTTGTAGGGAGAGATAAGACTAGAGGAAATGGCTCCAAGTTATGCCATGGGAGGTTCAGGTTGGGTGTAAGGAAAAAATGCTTCTCCAGAAGAGTGGTATATAAGCAGCATTACCTGTAGTTAGCAAAATAAACTTCTGGTTACTGTAACATCCAAGCATATAGAACAAGTAGTTCTAGGACTCTCCAACCCATTTGAGTCATAAGTCTGTAACAAGTTTACTTGCTTTTCCAAACCTTATCAATTTTCCAGCTTTGAATGAATGAGTTACTGACATGAATTCAAGTGCATGCACTGAAATTAAGGGCTTCAGAGTAAAGAGAAATGAAAAAGTGCCTTCTCTGCAACTGCAGAAGGAATTGCAGCTGCCTACGTGCATCACTTCAGCAAATCCTAGTTCTACATACTGAATGAGTGATTTATCTCATTTGAATATTTTGACTTGTCTTTAGAACTGTGTCAGTAAATACACATTGGTAGGATTCTTTTAATCTTGGCAATTTTAAGGCTTCACTGCTTGTTGTCAGGTCATATTTAATGTAAATGTAAGTAAAAATACATTATTTAATCTACTTCAAAGTTATTTCCATATTGCTTTTCCACGGATTCTTCCATTCCCTTTGCAGAAGTAGAAGACATTCAATGAGTTTTTACAACTGAGGGACACTGGAACACTAAATGAGTTACTGTAGAGAATGAGCATTCTCCTAATGCTCTTAATCAGGGAATTCCTCTGGTAAAAGTTGTCAGACCTTACAAGAGATAGAATACTGCATTCCCATAGCCTTTACCTACCCAGCATCTGCAGCAAGTCCTCAGTGTAAGGAGCCACATGGAAGCACATGGAGGAGTCCAGCCTGGCTGTGGCAGGCAAGCTGCTCTGCCTGTTGCCAAGGAGGCCTTGCTGTGCCAGTTCATTCATCAGTCCTGTGCACAAAACAGGAGCGTGTGAGGAGCACAAAGCCCCGTGATGCAGTCTGACATGAAAACCACGCTTCTTATCAAGTATTTTGATTCATCTGACCACAGATGCATTACAGAGACATCTATATGGGGTCACACTGAGCTTGCCTCATGAAACGCAGTTCTATCATTCCCTCTTCCCCAGCCCATATTCACATACAGTCAGGAAGGGGGCTGTTGAACGCTGAGAGCTGGTCACAGCTTTCTCTGGAGACACCTCTGCCTTCTGACCAGGACTCATTTGTTTCAGCTATAGGCAGTGGACTGAGATAAGGAATGCACACACAGAATATCCTACACAGCTCCTGCGCTGCCGTAGGTGTCCTAAGCAAGTTGTTGCCCACAAGAAAAAATGGCTCTAATTTTGGACCCACTGTTTGAGTCCAGACCCTCAGTATCAGTGGCAAGGCCAATATCCTGCATCCTACACAGCACCACGAGGCCAGAGAGCTATGGTAAGGTTAACAGATGGAAATCCCAGTCTGGAAAATATCTTAACTGCACTTTTACAAGTACTAAGTGCTGGGAACTAACAGCCATCACTCCCATTCTTTCCCAAAGGGCCAGGCTATGCACAGGCAGTGCACTAACATACTGGCATAGAGTGCAGTTTCACAACAATTGGTTGTATTTTATAATAATATTTCAGACATTTTTTAAGGTTTGTTATTTTTAAAGTTATTTTGCACATATCTTTGCTTTCCATTCTACAAGCCTGTCAACAATTTACTGCAGCATGGCACGGAAAATGGATTATTAGCTGTAGACACTGATGACAAACCTCAGATGCCAAATGTGGCACTGACACAGACTTGAGCTTGTCCCACTGACAACTAACCACCTGCTTTTTAAAATTCAGATGGCAAAAATAAATGAAACCTCCTTTCAGTACCTGAAGGATGCTACCCTCCAGTACTTAAATGAGTCTTACTAGAAAGCTGAAGAGGGACTCTTTATCAGGAACTGTAGAGCTATGACAAGGGGTAGTAGCTTTAAACTAGAAAAAGGGAGACTTAGGTTAGATATTAGGATGAAATTCTTTACCCAGAGGGTAGTGAGGCCCTGGCTCTGCTTCCCAGAGAGCTGGGGATGCTGCATCTCTGAAGGTGCCCAAGGCCATGGATGAGGCCCTGAGCAGCTTGAGCTGGGGAGAGGTGTCCCTGCCCATGGCAGGGGGTTGGAATTAAATGGTCTTTAAGATCCCTTCCAGCCAAAAGCACGCTGTGATTCTGTAACTTGCCATAACTTATCCTAGAGCATTATCTGCTCCCTGTTCAAACATAGCAAAGGAAAGCTTGGTCAAAAATTGATGGTGTTGATACAGACATGTTTCCTATAGGCACCTATCTCTCTGCTCCACTTCAAGAATGACTGCTGAAGTTTGCTTTGCTTTGAAGATTGAGCAGTGGTGAACATCAAAGAAGTGACTGCTTATCAGGGGTTTATTGATTAAACACACAAAACTGCTTAGTATGGTTTTGACCCTACTCAATTCCTAGTGCTGTCCTACACTTCCCAGAAGCTAAGCCAAAGCTTATGTGGCAACAACGACTTTCCTCTCCAAGGCTCTTGAGTATAGAATAAGCTAGCTCTCTGGATCACTTCTGAAGCAAAGAGGGTGCAAAAGAGGCATTTGCAAAATCTCTCTACAAAGGAAAAAAAAAAAAAAATTGACAGCTCTACAATAAGAGCAAATATTTTACCCTTCCTGAATATTTTTTGTCCCAGTGTCCACAGAGATATTGCTAGTGCAAATTTCGCTGTGCAAAACAAACACTGTGAATGTCATCTGCAGCATTTCTTGAGGGACAAAGCAGAAGCTATTTTTTTTTAGTGAGCAACTTTCCTTAGGTCTGCAGGCAGGAGGGACATGGTGCTGTAATCAGTCTGCCATGATTAATCCATGGTGTCTAAATACGTTTTCAGAACATATTGTGATGCTCTTTGGAAGAAAAAGAGGAGGACTTCTTGAAGCTTTTTTTTTTCCCTCCAAAAACTTTCGATGTTCTTTTCTACTGTGGATGGATTATAAGAGGTAAACATCATAAAAGGCAATGGATGAACGCCTCCTTCAGGAGCAAGCTGCTGTGGTGTAATGGAGGGGTCAGCAGCTGTTCTGGAACTGTTCAGGCTACAGTGACCCACTTATCCCAGCAGTCTAAAGGGCAGGCTGTGAAAAAAGAGACGCTGGAATGGAGCGTCCTGCTGCAGGCAATTTGCCCACTGCCAGGGCAGGAAGCAGCAGGCAGGTCAGGGCTCTCTGTTCTGTGCTGATCACTGCTGCTTTTGTGATTTTCCCCACTTAAGGCCAATGTCAGTTTATCTTTAAGAAAACTCAATAACTCTCATCCTGAATCAGAGAATCAGAACAGGGTTTGAATCAACTAAGAGGATTTGGGGCAGCTACATGTCTGTTCTTTTGGCAGTCTCTACATATAAAATAAGTTGCAGTTCAGATGCTTGGAAGTCACAAGCACACAGAATTCCGGGCTGAGGTTGATAGGATTGCATGATATCCTCAGGCCCAGTGACAGGCAGCCTACTCCTCTGGGAAGTAATAATACCTAAGAGAAAACATGAAGCCAAGCCCATTACAAAGGTGTATAGTGGGAAGCCAAGGGGCCAGGGTCATGAATTCAAACAGAGGAGGTTCCACTTTGACATAAGGGGAAAAAAACTGTTTTGTATGTGGAGAGTAAAGCATTGGAAGAGAGGAGCAAGAGAGGCGGTGGAATCTCTGCCCTTACAGATCCCCAAAGCTTGACTTGCCTTCAGCATCCTGGTCTGAATTCATTGCTGAGGCTGTGCTGAACAGGACATTGGGTGACTGACCTTCTGTCACCCCCCCAACATAAATTATTCTATGATTCTAAACTCAAAAGGATTTCAGTGCTAAAGATCAAGTAATTGACAAAGATTAATCTGCTGTGTAGGATATGTAGAAGTGGCTGATCTAGAAAAATGGGCCTGGAGATTCCTCAAATCTTCCCACAATGTAACATATTTGGCAAGGCTTTTAACCTCCAGTTCAAATGCTCTAAAATGCTGAGGTTTTTGAGAACTGAAAGCATTACCTTTTATCAATGCAAGAATATGATGACTAGCATCCTCCTTTCTCAGCAACAAGACAAGACAGTGCACGTGTGGCTCAGCAGAAAGCTCTCCTCTTGCAGAACTGCTCTCAGGAAAACTAGAAATCTTGCCAGGGCAAAATAGAGCAGTCTGAAATAACAAGGACCAGATTAGAAGACTAAATCCAGATTTAAGCACTACAAGGCTCAAGCAAACACTGAAGTTATGATGGCATATGAAGACACAGCAACACCAGTCGAACCACGTTAACTTCCATTAATATAGCAGGTATCAGTAGGTGCTCATTTGTCATCTCTTCATGAGACAGAGGAATTTAACTTAAATCTCATGAAAAGACTTAACATAAAATGTTTTGCTCTACAACTGGGCTGAACAAAAACCACAATGGTCATAAATGCAGAGAATAAGTGGTAGTATTCTAAATTACTCATTCAAAAATGATCTTGAACCCCAAGTTCTGAAACACTTAGCACCAGAGAACACATTAAAACAATAATTTCTGCTGCTATCTTCTGAAATAGCCACTTAGGAGCATGCCCCAGATATCTGCCCATTTTTGCTGTAGCATTCCATATATAGGCATTGCTTTCATTCTACAAGATATCATGGGCAGGAAAAGTGTTCTTCCTCATGCTTGATTAGAGAACAAGCAGAAAAGAAGGCTTCTGTGAAGTTTAGTTTGCAGAATGAAACATTTCCTTATTAACATAGGAAACAACTCTAAGAGTGAAGGAACACAGCCCTCTGTAAGACAAAGCACCACAGGATTCCTGGGTGATTTACAGTACAGAGATGGACTTCTTGTACAAGTTCAAATGTATTTTTGCATTCATGATCATTTGTTTCCTAGGTTGACATGTCAAAATGCCAACTTCTCTCTATTCAACTCAAATCTATCGTGTTACACAGAGCTTGAGAAAGAGAAAAAGGTTATTTTTGATGATAGGAAAGCTCTTCTTGCAAGCCATCTGAATGCATGAAGTTAGGGGAGTGCCTTATGCTGAAAGGCCACAAGCAGACCCAGAGGGACTGTGAAGCACACAGTCATACATCAGTCTGTTAGACAAAGACTGTTCTGAATACAGTTTCCAGATCAGAAATTGTTATTTTCATTTCTGAAACTTCTGAAACATTTACGAACTGTCTGTTCTTTCTTATTTTGAGATCAGTGGCAAAATTAATGCTTGCTTTAGTAGAAGCAAGTCTGTTTATGCTTAGGTTCAGTGAGAGGCTCAGGCCTAGTGGGATTTTCTTACTAATGAAAAAAAACCAAACCATCAGCACTGAAAGTAACCAGAAGGCCACTCACAGGAACATAGAGAACAGAAGTGCTGGTAAAGAGATGATGAGTGCCCTCGAGAACACTTGCTAAAGGAGTGTCAGCTCACACATCAACTCACAACACAGTAAGCTTCAAAAACGTGAAGCCAAGTTATACAAGCAAGCAGTGCATTCTGTCTGGTACCTGACTTGTTGTCATGCTCAGCACAATGGCTTGCTTGTGTGAAAGCTGCAGCTGTCTGATTCCTTGCAGAGCAAACCCTCGACGAGTACAGACTGCAATCATGTAACCATAGGCATGAGGAGGTACCAGAGGTGACACTGTCAAAATGATGTCCCCTAGATCAAAGAGAAGGTAAGGAAAGCTGTGGTATTACTGCAAAGAAACTCTCAGCAGCCAGATCCTACTCGAAGCACATCCCAAATAGAGACACCGTATTTCATGGTTTATTTCTTCTATCCATCTTATAATGGCTGCTTTCAGGAGCCAACATACAACAGTAAAGCTTATGGCATTATCAGTAATCTCTTTGTGAATCACCTGCTCCAGACATTCTATCTCATAAAGTCTACCCAGCCATCTACGAGCTACTCATCTATCTTTGAGATATCTGTGCTCTCAGGCCTTATGATGGCCCTGTGTCCACCCCTAACAGGCTGCGCCTGAGCAAGCTGACAACACTGAGATCCCCAGAAGACTAAGAATAAATCTGGCCAAAGTGATGAGTAACTAAATGAGGTCAAGACTGGCTGCTGACTTGTCTACTACAAGGCGTGTGAGGCAGCCTCAGCTATTCCTCTCTGCTACCACTGCTAGTCTGCAGGACCACAATTTACACAACCCTGACCAGCATGAACCTCTTCAGCCCAGTCTTTACTCTTCATCCCAGAGGCTGGCACGTGGCATAGGCTACAGACTCTTTGGACCAGCCTCTGATCATGATGTTACTCTACTCTTGCTTGGTACCACCTGTGGCTTCACAGACTCCTGTCTTTGGTGATCCTAATGGCACCAGCCTGCTTTCTACTACCTGAGTTTCCTTCCTACCCAAGCTGTAGCCACTAGATCTGGTTACTTGTGCTCTGCTTGTATCCCTCACCCCAGACAAGTCCATAGAAGCAACTAGAGTTGATATTGGCTTAGAATCTCAGGTTATTAACTTCTGTTTTTTAGGTTTAACTCCAAGCTCACTACCAACAAGGTGGCAGATCTCTGTAACTTCCAAGAAAGCTCTAAATAAACAAAATTCAGGGTTGCAGGTGGTAAGATTTCGGTTCATCTCTACTAAATAACACTTAAAGAAAACAAACATTTTTCTTTTTTCACATGCACACATCCCAAACTAATGGGAAATCTGCTAGGGTCAATAGAACTTTTCTTACTGAGATGAAGTGTATACATCTGATGGGTGGAGCAGCATATTTGTTCTGCATGCTCTGCATGGGTGCATCTTTCCATCTCAAGGAGAAGCTGCTGCAGACCTGGTGGAAGGAATAAGTAAATGTTTCCTTTGCTTAACACACCACAGGGTGTCTGCTCCCAGATCAGTTTTTTGGCTTCTCTTTGAGAGTCATGATAGTTATCTGAGGAGAAAAGCCTGAAAGTGATTTCCTGAGCCCAAATACAGATGGAACGTGGTGTAGTATAACTCAGCAGCCCACATCAAATGTGAATCATTAATAGCCATAAAAGGAAGGGGAGGCAGAAAATGTGAGTCATTCCATCAGCAGCAACCAGCTGCCATCAATACCAATCCCAAATAACATGGAGCCAATGGCTGTATGCCAAGCTACTTGAATTAACATGCCCAGTTAAACAAGAGACTGCATCTCAAAGGTAAGACTTTTCTTTCTTTCCTTTTTCCATTTTTTCCTGTCACTTTCCCCTCTTTTCATCTTACGTTTTCATTCCTTTCTCATAACTCCTTTCCTTTAGGAATATAACCTTCTTTACCTTCTCTCTACGTCAGTATGATCCTATTTTCCTCCAGTCATCCTTTCCCTGACAGCTGCTGAGATTCCACACCCCTCTGTGCTTTTTGATATTGTCCCCCACAGGGAGAAGTGGGGAGGTGGGGGGAAGAGGGGAAATCTTTTCAACTGTGGGAGTAGAAACATGATAGCAATGTTCTAATAGCATTGTCTCATAATCACCTGCACCTGAGATCTGCTTTGCCAGGCCCAACTACAGAAGATGACGAGCACACTGGCCCATCTGCAGCAGACACCTCTCCCATCCCTCAGAGCCAGTCCTAACACCAAGTGCTCGGCAGGCTCCCTTGAACACAGTCAAGCTGCTGCTAGCTAGCTAGAAATTTAGAAGCTAGAAGACTGCTCCTGCAAAGGGCACTTGGATAGAGGAGTCAGGTGATAGTTAATGTTAGTCCCATTAAATGCTTTCTTTTCTGATTACATAGTCAGTACTGGCTTGAATGAATTCTTAACTATTTCACACCCTATTATATTCAGCTACCTGTACTGGTCTAGAGTTGATTTCTGATCAGTTAAGCAAGCAGTCTAAGGACACTGTTAGGTAATCACAATAGTTCCTTGATAAACAGCCCCCTTACAAGCACAAATTTGTTGTGGGAGTTTTTGTGTGTGCGTTTTTAAGTGAAACCTAAGCAGCCCACAGGACTCAAGCAGCTGCTCCCATGAGGAGGATGATGTGATAACAGTTCTGTCACTTCATTTTAGGCAACAGCGTTTCAGTAGAAATTCATTTCTGGCTCTGGACCTGGCCAGATCACAACACTGAGTAAGGCAGAATTTCCTGAAACAGGTGCACTGGAGTGAGGTAACTCTGTCAGTGAAGGAGAGCCATAAAACCTCAAGATTAGTTCCCTATTACGAACCGTTGGTAGGTGAGACAAGCATTGCTGGAGGCTGAGGCTGCACCATGCCCTGGAGATAAACCTTTTCCTCATCTGCTTCTTCTCTAGTTGATGAAGGACTCTGAGATCTAAAGAAAAACAGCAGATATTAAAAGGTGTTGTGCCAGGTTCTGAGTCCAACCCCCTTTCTGCAACAGACCCAGGGTCAAGAAAGCTGTAACGGAAAGGCCATTTCAACCCCCTGTTGATGCCACGAGCTACACCAAGTTCTCTCAGATTGACTGTCTCTTCTATTACTCCCTCCAAGGGTCTCTTTGCTCAATAGCACAACCCAATACAAAGTGGCCAGTTTGGAAATAAAAAAATGTCAGGCTACATTATCAGTGTTTTTCCTACCCTGCAGATACATCACAGCTGCTATTTACTTTTGGTTCTTTAGCCAGAACTTAAGTAGTTTTAAATCAGTCACAGTGCTCCTCTGCTGCTCCGTGTTGGGTAACAAGCACCATCAAGACTGTCACAGATGTTCATCACAGTGAAACCTCTCCACATTGGCACAGTGAACATAAGGTGTGGTTCAGAAAGCCAGGGACTGAGAAGGCAAACTGCAGTCTGCCCAACAGTTTGGCTAGGTGTGTGAAATGCAGGCTGTTCAGGCAAACCTGAACACATCCTGCTTGTTCACTCCCAGGAGACTGACAGAAGCCACCAGTATTTGCAAGTAAAATCTGACAAACTGAATTCTGAGGTGCAGCTTGTATTCTGATCTCCCAACGGGTCAAATTACCAGCATTAGGAGATGGGCACAATTCTAGCACCACTCTGGACCGGCTGAGTTATACCAGAGGAGCAGAATTCATCATCTCTGTAGGAGAAAAAGCATCCTTGAGGAAAACAAATAAAAAGAATGAAAGTTGGCCAAATTGAGTTTTACATACCATAAACTAAAAATGATGAATTGTTGCTCATGAGGAAACAAAGCCAAACTCTGACACATAACCCCCTCTGCGGGCATCAGATCAGCTCTACATGGATGCACTCCTCCCCACCAGAGGAGAAAGCACCAAGGCTGTAAGCACCAGAGCAGAAAGCACCAAGGCTGTAGAGCCCCTCACCCCTCACTCTCTGCCACCAGCAGTGTGCTTGCAGCACTGAGCAGCTGGGAACTGTAAAACCTGCCCAGAACTTGCAGGTTCAGGGCACTGCCTGAGCTGCAGGGGAGTTCCATCACACCAACACATCTTTAATTCAGTTATATTGAAAGGAGATGCCCAAGGCCTAAAAAACCCAGTGGCTGGCACTCCACATGATTATTACACAGCCCTGTAGAGCAGCCAGGAAAGGGTGTCTCAGTTTCATATTGCCCCAGTTGTTGGAAATTCCTTGAAGCCCTAAGCCAAATCTTTTGATAAAGCACTGTAGGCCAAATGCTTTGAGGCCCAGATCAACTTCTGCCTGGAAAAACCCAAGGGGTGTCTTTCAGAAGCCCAAAAAAATGCAAGTGCTTCTTTTCTCTGACCTGTGCAGGCCAGCCTACTCTGATGTCTTTGCAGCAGCAGTCTGAGGAAAGGGACCTCAAGCACAGCAGGGCTCTTCATTTAGGAAGAGGATTCACAGGACTGAGTGAGACTCCTGGGTCTTAGGTTTGAGTCTCCATCTGGGAAGTAGCAGGGTTGTCAGGAAGTAAGTGATCATTCCACACTGTAGGAAGGCTACTGAGGGAAAAAAAGTGCTGGGAAGGAGTAGTGCCAAGGGTATCCCCAGACTACTGACCCAGCTTCCCTCTGCTTTCCTGCAGCTGTGGACAATGTGAAAGGGCTGCTGAGTGCTGACTTCAGAGCTGAACAGAAGCTTTTCTCCTTTCCTCCCCACTCCTTTTCCCTGATGCATGCATCTCTCTTCTGCTGAGGAAGGCCAAGAGCAGATTTTATAGCAGACCACCACCAATGTCACAAACCAAGCAACTTTAAGAATAAAAAAACATTGGAGAGGTTTGGCTATCTTGAACAGAAATGTGAGCCTTTGGGAGCTACAGCCTGCCTCCTTGTAGTTATGCACAGTAGAATACATATTGCTGAAGGGTGCATGATGGATTAATAGCTACTTAATAACCCAGTTCCTTCTGCAGCTATACTCAGCTCTATCCAAAAGCAAGATTCCAGACTCCTGAGTCTTTCCAGTTCCTTAAACTTTTTGGCACCCCACTGCTATGCCACCAGTTCTTAAGCTGTTTTTATTCACGCTAATTTGCTTAAGAGCCAATTTGCTTTATAAGCCATCCTTCATTCTCACACACACTTCTGTCATAATCCTCCCAAGAACCTTTTCCATCTGAAGCTCCTTATCTCCAATCTGTTAATATGAAAGGGACAAAGGGCAGAGCTGCACCTGGAGAACAGGCTGCTCAATGGCACGCAATCTTGTGGCCTTTTTCCAACACCAGGCAGAGCTAGAAGAGTTTTCAAACCAGGCTGATCAGCCATTACTGACACAGAAGGGGCCCAGGTGTTGCAAGTGTAGGAATTGAAGGTCTTCCAGGAAAGAACTGATGGGAGGCAACTGCAGGAATGCCACACCTGACATATCGAGGGGAGACAGTGATGTGAGAGATGTGCTTTTACAGACTGTAGTAACCCACGTGAAAATTGAAACAGTATACAGATTCCATCCTTCACTCTTGTTCTTTCAGACCTTTGGCAGAAGACCAATAAAGACAAAGCATGCCAACTGTGTGCTTGTCTGTCCTCCACACTGCTTTGCCTGGGAGAACTACCATCACTCAAAAACATGCAGGCCAGCACCCTCACCTTGTTCTGTTGTATCTGGGAGTCGGATCCAGGATACCACCATGCAGTGCTGCATCAGCAGCCCTCCCTCCAAACCAGAGGCACAGCTCCCTGTGCACACAGCTGTCCTGCTGGGGCAGGTGGACAAGAGGCTCTGTGTGGCTCATGCAGTAGATGGCACTGATGGAACTGCAGTCTGTCATGCCAGCCAGCTGCGGGTCAGGTGGCCCAGTGATATTCTGCATGGTGCTAACTCCTTTAGGCCCTCTCACCCCTAATGCCAGCACCTTGTCAGTCTCTGAAGCATAGGAAGAAGGCAGTTTTCCTGTGAAAGATAAATGCATTCAAATAAAACATGGAACAGCCCACCCCAAGGTCATTCATTCCACTCCAGTGCTTTTTTCAGATCTGTCACAGTTGGGCACAAAGTAACCTATGGGTTATCTGTCCTGCAGGCGTTACACTGGCAACCAGCTGCACATTTTTACCCAACTGTAAATCTGAGATTGCTCAAGGTAGCTTACCTGATAGAGAAAAAAAGAGTGGGATGCTTCATATTTGCTGTGGGTAAGGGTGTGCATAGGGTTAGTTACTAAGCAGCAGCCAGCTGTCAGAAGCCAGCACTTTAACTTCTGGTGCTGTATGCTGTCTCATACAAGGAAGGCTGGTGGGTTTGAAGGGTAGACAGGGCAAGAACATGGCCCTGAGAAGAAGAATACTTTCTGTAATTTTCATCAGATATGGGAAAATAGGGAGAAGATCACAAGCTGAAAATCCATCCACATCTTTTCTGGTTTATTTCCCTCTGTATAAAATAAAGATTTGTCCTATGTTCTATAAACATAGTCCTATGTTTATAAACATATGAACAAGTCCTATGTTGTATAAAGATGTATCCCAATATTTGCTAAGCCAGCTTTATTCCCCTTCCAGGATTTGTGGCTTTCCTCATTTCCTGCAGTAATTCTTCCTTACACCTCTGACAAACCCTTCTCCATGCTCACTGTCAGTACTGCTGGGGTTCAGTAAGTAACCCCAGAAAAGAGCAAGTTTGGCTCCTCTCCAGTTCTTACTGTACAAAAGCAGAAAGACTTGTAAATGAATGCATTTAGGTGTCAGGGAAGAGAATGACATCACTAGCTGCATGAGAATCAGAAGGCAGAACATAAATCTCCAGAACAGGTAGAGAATGGAGAAGTGGTCTGAAAAATATTCAAAATAATCCAGTCTTCAAACTCACAGAGCAGTTCTCAGCTGAAATTAATTGTTCTTCACACAAAATGTTAATAATGGTAAGAGTTGGGAGCACTGAAGCAGATCTGCTGCCTGTCAGTTCTTAATGACTGGTGATTTTATGGTTTTCTTACTCATTTCTGTAGTCCTCCTTCATTTCTCCAGTTATCAGCATGAATGTATTACACGCACAATGCTGAGCAACTGCAATCCCATTTTTAAAGCAGTCTGCTTCTGTGGTTTTCAGATGTAAAAAAGGGTAGGAAGATTGCAGAGTTTCTCTCTAATTAAGCAGGTCTGCATTCATCTTCTGTCTAAGCAGAAGGAAGCCTGTTTCTCTCTCAGTCTGCCTAGAACTTTCCCAGTAGAGACTGATTGTATTCACTGTGGTGTCACATGCAAACCTCTCAGGAGAACTTTTTGGCTTAAAAGAAAGCACTAGCCACAGTACATCAGGAGCCATCTCTACATTTTGCTGCTGGTATAACTGCTTGTTGTTCTAGGGTTATATTCCATTAGCAACTAGTAATCTGCTGTACATGCTTTGAGGCAGGTTTCATTATCACTGCTTCACAAATGGAAAAATATGAAGACTTGGCACAGGCAAATATTTGAAAACACCGGTGTCTGACGTTAAAGGCTTTGGGATTTGACATCAGGGACCCAATATAGCTTTTGTTTGCCTCATCTTTCTGCTGCCATATCTCAGAATGTCTTCTATTCACAAATTGTGACATGCATTGTCTGATAAGCCATCACCAAAATGTCAGTTACAGAATGGCCACTAGTTTCCTTTTGCACGTGCTCCTGAAGAAGTTAAGACTGAAGTCCCAGAAGAGTTGGAAGGGGGGCAATTGAGGAAGAGAGGTTGGAGTATCTGTAGCAAAAACCTCCAGAAAAATCCATGGAAACTTAGTGCATCTAATTTGCATGAGCCTAAACATGGAGCTTAGAGCACTGGAATCTGGGAAAGCCTCTGAAAAGGAAAAAAGAAAGTGGCTCGAGACACAAAAATATATTGAGAGCTAAAAATTCAACTGGGGAATATTCAGCACTAGGAATCGATAAGAGACCTTGTGCTGCTTCTTCCTATCACTTCTTTGGGCAAAGATACAAGCACTGATGTGAGGCTCTTGGAAATCTGTGACTCTCTTCCCTATGTCCACAGCACCAGGTGATTCTTCCCCTCAGCACCCTCACAGGATGGAATCTCTGAAGGAAAACCAGACCTCACCTGAGCTAGAGAGCAGCACATCACGCTGAGAGCACAGCAGGTGGAGTCCACAGGTATCCAGCCCAGAGCTGAGCACCAGCTGCAACACGTGATGGGCAGCTAGGGATCTTTGGGAGAGAGCTTCCAACGGCAACACCATGGCAACCTGGAAGCCAGAGCACAGCGGTGGAATGAGCCAAAATGTTTCCGAGTCCACAGTGACCTCACAGCTGCGTTCCTTCCGCTCACCTTTAATTCTCGTGCCCTGCCTGCACTCTCAGAGCTACGAAGAGGCTTTTCTTCTGTGCTTACGTGCAGTTCAGCACAGTAGGTTTTTACCTTCAGATTGAATAAGTATGGTAGCTGTGATTGAATAATGATTGTGTATTACTACTGATACAGCTGTGCCTTTTGTCACTTAAACCTACTAATTAAAAACTGTGTGTTCTCTGGGACAAAGAATAAAGTGCATCACTCCTGCTGTTTAACTTTGCATACTACAGAAAGATGGCTAAATTATAATAGACCAACTAGTTGTTTCTTTATACCTACAAAAATACCAAAATTAACATAAAAAATAAATCAGACAGACACTGCCCCAGATTTACATTTTGAACTTTTCTTTGCCAGATGAATCCAATTCAGCTCATCTTTGCAAATAGAAAGACATACAGTTGTATGTACTGAATGTCTGCAATCTAAAGGAAAACAAACAACTTTGAGCTCTGGATTTCCCTACGAAAAGAAACATACAGCTTCAAAAGGCACGTGCTTTACACCAGGAAGTTTTGTGGTGCTTCACACAGTGCAGGTAATGAATTGTCTAGGTGCAGATCAGACAAGCACGATTGCATTGGCCTCAAATTTGTGCATGGTTCTCCTGGGTGTAAAGACACACAGTGCTATTGCCAGCAGCAAGCTTTATGTCTGCGCTGAACGCAAAATGAATTCATCACTCCTGGTCACTTTAAATGAAATGCTACTCCCCCCATAAACACATAACAGGGTTTATAATATCATGATAAATGAAGTTATAAATTTACTTAAATCATAAGAAAGTGTACCAATTAGGAATAAAAGCTCTTTCTTTATGTTCATCTAGCTCAAGCTCTCCTGATACTAACCAAATGCTCTCAGCAGCCAGTAAGGAAGCACGTTTTTGTAGCAGCTCTGATAGTCCCCAGGGTTTAGCTGCCTGGGCTCCAGGCCAGTCTTGATATTGCAGCTGTCTAACACTGAAAAGCCTCAGCAACTGCCTGGTTCCCTGAGCTTGGGAGCCAGGCACTCGGCTTTGGCCTCTGAGCATTGTTGCAGGCTTTCCTGTGCCCATCCTCATATATCACCGATTCTGGCTGCTATCCTAACCTGCTGACTTGACTTTCCTACTTGGCCTGGTCCCTACGGGCTCATGGCTGACCCTGGTTACTGCTGCTGGACCTGCTCTGCCTTTCTTGGGAAACATCTGACTGCACCCTGCCTTGCCATTTCCTCACGGAGCGTCCAGCCCCTGCTGTGCCATGTTCTGTATGGACCCACTTCTGAGAAACACTGAGGAACTGTAACAAGACACAAGGTATTTCCTGGCTGTGCCAAGCGCCCAGCATCTTTAACAAGTAACTGTGGTCTTCAGGTATCTTCCAGGAGCAAGCCTGGTGTATGCTAACTGCTGTCAGTCATCAGTCAAACTTGCTCAGGAAGAACGTAAGATATCTCCATCTCTCTGAATCAATCCTAACTGAAACCGAACTCTGTCAGATCAAACATGCCACGTGGTGCTGCACAAGAGCTAAAAAAGGTGAGTTACCACAGTTACCAACAAACATGGGTACAAGTCCTGCACGTTTCGGTACGCATTCCTACACAGAGGGAAAGATGAGCTAATTCAAGTTACCTTCTTCTGGGTTAAAGTATAGAGACTTTTTTTCCCCAACACAGACAGTTACTGTAGCTAAGGTAGATTGCACATGGAGCAAAGTTAGGTGCGAGTTGTGTTGCACATTGACTCACAGTCATGTATCTTCAGCTTATCAGAATTTCTCTCTTGTTCCTTTCTGCAGCAATTTCTTCAACCTGCATATTTCATAGCCAGATCTTTTGTGGCTCAGAGCAATCACTACATCAACACTGATGACACAAAAGACTCAGTTGATGCATTCAAGTTTGAGTGAAAAATACCTTGAGTATTTGTACCCAACCTAAAGACTGAAACATTGCAGGTCACCTAAACGTGATCAGTTTATTCATTTATTTTACCTCAGTGTCACTGCCATTAGGGAAGCATTTTTCATCACTTTCAACAGTTTGCCAGTAAAATCCACTTGGCACTGCAAACATCTCCACTGCCTGAAACACATGAAAGGTAGCTCTTACCTGTATGTCATTGTGATCCCTCAAATCAAGAGCCAGGAAAAAATCAGTATGGCTAGTTTTATGGCTGGAGAATACATAAGAATGTACATTAATGGATGAGAGTTATTAGCCAAGTCCTGTTACCCTATAATTTGCTTTCTTGCATCAGTATCACCAGCTATAATTATATCCCAAGAACATGAATTTGCAGCTGCTTCTTAAGAGGCTGAGCCTTCCTAGGATCCAAAACTGTGGCCCTGCAGTGTGGGCATTGCCCACTAACGTGAACAGGAGCTGCGTGTAAAAAGCACTGCAGGATCAGGCTCAGCAGCTTGAGGCCTTGATTTTCCATGATCACGCTGGGAATCCAGCAGAGAAGAGCTTTGTAAAGCAAATGCTCTAATACACAAACCAAACTGATGGACGAGGAAAGAACTGCATTATTTTCTATATGGCTGTAACCAAAACAGGACACATTTTCCTGTGTTCATGTCAGCCCTAATAGCACATATGTGTGAGTCTTATCGTGTCATTTAGTCCTGAATAGGCAAAAGGCTCTGGCATTTAGGTCAGGGCACTAAAGAAATGTGGCATTTCCCAATCTCAGCACCTTATTTTGTTTCTCATCCATTTTCTGGGCAGCCAAGCAAGCAACCTGTACAAGTGCAAATTTAAGGATATGTCACTCACGAGAATTTGCTGTGACTGTAATGCCTCATAAGCAAGGCCATAGCCCAGAAAGGAGCACAGCTTCTGGAAGACAAGTTTGTCAAGTTCTGGTTTGGGAAAAAGTGATATTCATAGCTATGCTTCTCTTGAGGCATTCCAGAAATACAGCTGCATTTACACAGAGCACCGTCTCTGCACCGGGCACAACTCATCCCAAAGCTGAGAAAAATGTCCCTTTGGAGGCATGAGGCTTGGGAGGCGCAAATCAAAAAGCAGTGGAACTATTCCAAGTCTCTGCTTTGATTTTCAACAGCCACAAACCTGTTTCCTCGTGTAATTTTGTTCACGTGCTGCAAAACCTTTTAGAAAGAAAAAAAATTCTATTTCAACATGGTTTCAATAAGACTATGAACAGAAAATGGACCAACTGCATGAAGTGTCCACTCTGGAGGATGAGCTACTTACGATGCTGTAATTTACTTTGTTTTTTTTTGAGGTTTTTTTTCCTTGTACTGCTTGGCAAAGAAATTAAGTGCTTCATCCTACAAATGTTTAAAAACAACTGGGAAATGAAATGAATTTGGATGATATTAAAATCCCTCCGTCACCTGCCTTTCTGCTTCAGCAGACTTTTGAGTTTCCTCCTTCCTCTACTTGCTGTGCTTCATAAGATATTTGCCTAAAAGCAGAACTGGGAATTTCATTTTTCATCTGATTTCAGTCATCACAACTACACAAAAATGAGCATTTTGACGTCTCTCAATGATTTGCTCATTTCATCCTGCAATTCATTGTCCATCAGCCTTGATATTACCCTTGGTCACTGTGGAAAATAACAGAAGAAAACCGCTGGTTTCAGGATATGGAAGATCCTCTCTTGTTCCAATACTCGATGCCAGCTCCTGTGTGCAATGCTGGCATTGTGCAGCCAGCACAGAGGGAAGAAACAAGTCTTTCAAACCACATACGTAGCAAGATTCCAGTCTTTACTTATTCAAGCTGTTCCTTGAGCACGCTTTAAGACTATAAGCTTACAAGAAAGAGAAGATAAGGGCTATATGTGGTCAAAGCAACTCCAGCCAATATTTCCATGGAGATCTTCATAATAACCACCCAGACAGAGAGGATACAAGCTGAGAACCCTAAGGTAAAGCTGACCTTTAGAGAGTTTCAAAGTGCAAGCTGTGGATCAGCTGCAATGCTAGGCAATCATGCTGTTGAATGGCTGGCCTCCCACCCCATCAGAGCAGGGACGTGGCCACACACATTAGGGAATCGATCCCACAGGAGATTGTTCCTATGATCTGTCAGACTCTGTTTTCTAGCAGCCAACCTGAATGAGATTTCACAAAGCAGTAGAAAATGAAGCTTGAAAAGTCTTAGATCTCCCAGAAAATCCTTTTTTTTTGCCCCGTGGGTAGGGAAACATGCATAGATGACTGCAGTGTGAAAGCCCCTGTTTTGTCTAGTCTCACAAAAATGTAATGTAAGTGGAGGGTAATTCCTGAGATCACCTTCCTATGCAATGCAAGGAAGAAAACAGCTTTCCCATGCATGTAGCAGAGAATTGCATCGAGTCAGAGCTCGTCTCAATATTCTAAGAACTATTTGATGCATAATGCACAAGCGATCCTTCCTCCAATGACCTTACTCCTCCCAAAATAATTTTGGTGATTTTGATGCTATTTAGCTCTAAGCTACTTTCATCTTTGGTGCTACTTTCAATACTGCACGAATTGAGACAGGGCAGGCAGGAGAATTGCATCAGTTTCACCTCAGGGCCAGTTTCTCTCTTTTATGCCTCCAACAATATTACAGGAGCTGTAGAGCTTCAGTGCAAACACAGCAGTTCAGAAAGTCTCCCCCAGTCTAGCTGATGTGTCATCTGAGTGCTGAGCTGTCTCTCTTCCCATGCACAGTGCAGAACAGTAAAGAAGCAGTCCAGCTTCAACACCAACCCAGAAAGGCCTCTTCTGTAAGACTCTGCAAAATGTTCAAATAGTCTTAGGTCTCACAGAATACACCAGGGAGAAAAGTTACCCTACACTCAGCCAGTAATAGCTACAGGAGCTGCTGGGATACTTTGACCTAGGTTTTGACATGCTTCAAAGGCCCAAATCACTTTGCCATCACCACCTCCAAATGTAA